TGACCAAAGAATCAAATTGAAACCGCCCAATTGCACACGCGTAAAGGTCAAGATGGGAAAATACGCACCTGCCCAAAACAAGTTGATGTTTACACCGGTCCCACAAGTGGAAACGGAAGTGCAACCATTGGCAGGAGTAACGGACCACAGAGGAAAGTACTTTGAAATCGTCATTGCGAATCACAGCAGCAAATACCGGATTGTGAAGAAAAATCAGCTTCTTGGCTACGTTTAGCCGTATGAACATATGGAAAATGTAAAGGTCAACGCAGGGACAGTAAAGAACGTACTCGAAGACCCTGAGGTGGATGATACAACGAAACCTGAATTGAAGAAGATAATCGAAAACCTGAAATTGGAACCTGACCTTACCCAGGAACAGAAAAACGATGTGTACAACGCGTTCTGGGAATTCTGGAAAGTCTTACCGACATCCAAGAAACCGTATGGAGATGTGAAAGGAGTCACCCATGTAATTGATACGGGAGATGCGAAGCCAGTTAAATGTAACCCGGCCAGAACGAGTTGGACAGGCCGCGAGTTTATAACAAAGCATATCGAAGAGATGTTGGCACAAGATGTAATTGAACCGTCAGACGCCGAGTGGAGTTTCCCGGTCGTATTGGCAGTAAAGAAAAATGGCGACGGAACAATGGGAACAAGATTTTGCGTCAATTACATCATGCTTAACAAGCTAACGAGAAAGAATAATTACCCGCTACCAAATCCGGATGAGTTGCTCGACGCGCGCAGGCAACAAATATTACGGAAAATGGATTTACAAAGTGGATTTTGGCAGATCCCAATGGATCCAGCGTCAATCAACAAGACGACCTTTGTAACGCAAGATGGAATGTACCGATTTAAAAGAATGCCATTCGGCGTATGCAACGGACCAGCAACATTCCAATTGTGTATGGACAAAGTTCTCTCGAAAGCAAAAAAAGAAAGGGTTGCGTTTTCGGGTACATTGATGACGTGATCTTCGCCGGAAAGACTTGGGCGATCTTCATGCAGAATCTGCAAATGTCTTAATGAGTCTGGTTGAAGCGGATTCACGATTAAACCAACCAAGTGCGAATTTGGAATGAGACAAATGGGATTTCTGGGTCATATACTCAGCGAAGACGGAATTCGTATGGACCCGGAAAAGGTCACCGCGGTCTCCGAGTTCAAACGGCCTCAAACTGAAAGACAATTAAGGTCATTCCTTGGACTAGCGAACTATTACCGCAAGTTCATAATGGGATACGCACAGAAGACTTGCCGCTTGTATGAGCTGCTGAGACAAGATAAACATGTGAAAAAGGACTGGACAGCAGTACATGGAGAAGAGTTCAACAGCTTGAAACAGCTGTTATGTGAAGGTCCAGTATTGGCAAAGTTTGACCCTGCAAAACCGACCGTCATCGAATGCGACGCGAGCAAAGAAGGAATTGGGGCCGTACTGTCACAAGATGGACATCCAATCGCATATGCGAGCCGCGTCCTACATGGAGCGGAGAAAAATTACGGTGTAACGGAATGGGAATGTCTGGCAGTAGTGTTCGCTGTCAGGAAATTTAAGCCGTATATCGATTACGCAGAATTCACCTAAGGACGGATCATCAGGCGCTGACCAATTTGCTAAGGTCAGAGACGAATAAAGTCGGAATGAACCCGCGCTTGACAAGATGGGCAATGGCATTACAAGGTCATCAATTTAAAATCGAATACAAACCAGAAAATATTGTGACAACGCAGATGCGTTATCAAGAGCACCAATTGAAGGTCCGACGTGTCAGGAGGAGGAATTTGATGAGATTCCAAACTTCGAGGATTATAAGAAGGAATTTGACACGAAAGAACCAGCAATCGAAATCGGTCAGCTGTTCCTACAGATGGTGGAACAACGAGAAAAACGATTAAAGGTCACTTCAGCTACGGCGAATGAGTCGGCTGAAAACGAAGTACAAGTGAACCGAGTGAAAAGTTGGTTGCCCGCCGTTAGTGACTTAAAGGTCACCGGACTTGATGCGGAATTTACAGTACAGAATGAAAAGGTCACAGGACTTGGTGGACCAGAGAAAGATGACCTTTGGGAAACGGATAAGGTGGCACAAGCGTTAAATGAGTGCCCGATTAAGTTGCTGAGATTCCCAAAACAAATGAAAAAGAGGTACAAACCATTACCACGCTGCAAGGTCATCAAAGATTGGAATGAACTCAGCACAGCGACAGTCCGCATCGTTAACCTACAAGGAGATGAAGAAGAAGAGGATGACTCAAATCTGCAGCTACGGAATAAACGAGTTAAAAGATCCCCATCTGGCAATGATTATAGATGAATTGGAACATCTACCAGACGCGGAGACAAGATCGAAATTTGAAGTACATTACCAGTTGTGGAACGGCATATTATACCGAGTAAAGGATAAAAATGGGAGACTTGAAAGGTCATATGTGGTACCGTTGTCCATGCGAAGAGCGATAATTCACGCATTGCACGACGAGAAGGCAGGACATCTGGGATTCGAAAAGACATTATCTGCAATCCGACTACGATATTACTGGGACAGGATGAGTACAGATGTGAAGAATTACATTCGCCTGCCAAGGATGTCAGTTTCGTAAAACACCGAGGAAATGCCCGCCAGGAAAATTGCAAGAGATTAAAGTCGGACATCCGTTCTTCCGGTGTATGCTGATCTCAAAGGACCTTTGCTACCGACGAAGAAACTCGGATATAAGTACATAGCGGTGTTCATTGATCAACTGACGAAATACGTGATTGCGGTACCAATGAAGACGGCAACGGCTAAAGAATTTGCCAAAGTGTTTGAAGCACGTGATATTGGTACACGGAGCACCGCACATCCTACATACGGATCGCGGACGACACTTTACAGCTGAAGTATTGGCAAGGTCACCAATGTGTTTAAGATTAAACACACATTCGGAACGGCATATCATCCAGAAGGTCAAGGCCAAGTTGAAAGGCAGATGCAGACAATTGCGGATGGTTTGGCACAATATCTGAAGGCGGAAATGAACGAAAGTTTAATAAGTATCTCCCATACGTTATTTCGGCGATGAACAGAGTCGTGCACGCCACAACGGATATTCAGCATACTATATGCTACACGGCAGAGAAATGACAATGCCGGAAGATGTGGTTACAAAAACGAATATACCGATGATTATGGAACTCAGACGAATGGGTAGAGACCATGAAAAAGAACTTGACCTTTGCCGAAGAAGTGGCGAGATGTAACATCAAAGACGCTTATGAGAAGAATGCGGAAATTTACAATAAGAAGAAATCGGAGCCGAATTTCAAAGTGGGCGACCTCGTACTGATACGATTACCAAAGGACACGAAACAAGGGAAGAAAGAAAACCAGTCGGACTTTAAGTCGAAATACGATAAAGTGTGGAAGATTCTGAGTTTCCCGCGAACAAACGAAGCTGAGGTCATTGAGCAGAACCCTAAGAAGGAAGCAGACTTAAAGGTGGTCTCGATTGACCGATTAAAGCTGTGGCATCCGCCATTACCTGAGGAGAAAGATTCGCAAAAAGTATCAGAGCGTACCTCGAATTTTTTCGAACCACCTCTACTACCTGAAGTAGAACATGGAACAGTAGAACGAGTAACAGAGCGTACTCAAAAAGACTCGGCAGAATCTTTTTTCGAACCACCTCTGCTTCCCGAAACGGAGAAAGCCAACGGAAAGAAAATGAATCAGGCGAGTCCGAAAAATGACTCAGTCACACAACAAAAGCCATTTTTCGAACCACGCACTCTGCTACCTGATATGAGTGGAGATAAACCGAGGAAGAAGAGAGGAAGACCCAGGAAAGAAGACAAAGATTTCGAGACAGCAGTTACAAAAAAGTTGAACGCAGAAGCTGGAAATTTGGCAGAAAGGTCACCAGCTTTCGGAGAAGAAATCGAAGTAGCAGGACGCGCTTCGCAAAAGGGTTTCGAACCGAATCAAAAGCTATTTTTCGAACCACGTACTGCTACCGGAGACAAAGATGACCTTTTGAAACAGCAAGTTGGCGCTGGAATATTAGAGCGCGATTCGAATTTTTTCGAACCACTCACTGCTACCGGCAATGAGAATGACCTTATAGAAAAGCGAAAAGAGGAAATAGAGGCGGTCAAAATAAAGGCAGAACAATTGGGCCGCGATATAGCGAAAGCAATCAATGAGCGAAAGGTCAAGCAGAAGAAGAAGAAACCAACTCCTACGGAACTGCTAACCCAGAAAGGCGAACCTGAGGATGCAGCCGAGAAAGAACTCCTTGATCGGATAACTAAAGGACGCGAAAACAAATAACCCTCATAAATAGGAATAATGGGGTCCACTTCATTAAAAATAGGAGTTGGGAAGGCATAAAGGTCACACGACGCAAAGCGGCCAATCGTTATTGTTTTCGTTGCTAGCCAGAAAGATCATCAATTTGAAAGGTCATCAGACTTAGACTGAATCATGCGGTAGAAGTGAAAGGTCAATCGAAAGGTCAAGATAATTCAACCCAAATTCAAATGAACAACGAAAAGGTCACAAAATTCGGAATCATCAGAAAGGTCAAAAGGTCCTCAAATTCGTCAGGACGGTCTTCATAAAGGTTATCCGGGACGAAAGGTCATCAGAAATTGTCGCCCAGTCGAAAGGTTGTGAAATTGACGGAAGAACAAACGGAAGAAGTGAACGATCATTCGAAAGGTCACTAGACTCCAACTGGAATTCAAACTAAAAGAAAAGGTCAAGAGGATTTGGAAAACGCGAGAACAAAGGTCATGAGACTCAGACGAGGTTGTTATGGCAAAGGTCAGACATTTGAAGAAGCCGAAAAGGTCAAATAACTGAAGACTAAAAGGTAAAGTGACCAATGATCCAAAGGTTAAGCGCAAATGAACTTAAAGGTCAAATATCAAATGAACCAAGTGTCAAGTGAAAGGTCAAGTGACAGACCGCCTGAAGGTCACGGACTTTCACAGAAAATTCGAACAGCCTAAAGGTCAAAAGACGTCTGGAACCGTGGAGAAGGAAGCGCAACCTAAAGGTCAAGAGAGTTCCGTGTCTATGGAACAACCGAAAGGTCACGAGACTTTGAAAGAAGATGGGAAAGAAAAGGTCATGCTCCCCATAGAAAAAGCGGCAGTAGATGCAGAAGCGGACTCCGCGCGACAGGTGGTTCAAAAATCGCTGTTTACACTGTTGAAAGAGGCTTCAGCGACGGAGAAACCGAAAGGTCAAGAGATTCCACTGACGACCGAGAAATCCAAAGGTCACGAGACTTAGCCGCAAAAAAAGAGAAGACTGACGAACCGAAATCGACTCAGTCTTCGTCCGGATCATTGGCGAGATAGAAAATCGATGAGAAACAGAGTCAGGAAGCCGAACCAACGGACTCGGCATTCCCCCAGAAACCGGATACGTGCGGTACACCAGCGAAATGAAAAATGCTGCCAGAGCACAACAGAAATGCGTGGAGAATGGTCATAACTGATGCGACATTGGGTAATATCTGTCGAACAAATGGAACGACATGACCTTTTGAACTGCATGGCTGTCTGACTTCGAAATGTTCAAACTGAATATCGGAAAGGATGGAAAGTAAATCAGAAACTCTGTTGAATGTTTGATTAACGACGGAGCACTTGAACTGGCGTAAACGACAAAATGTGAAAGGTCACCGCGTGAATGAAGCAAATGACCTTAATGATAAGGTCATGAAAGGTCATCAGAAGCGAATATCATGGTTAAGTATAAAGGTCACGTAACATGTTAACTTAAACTGCATTAGTGCAATTGTTGTTTTCAGCGTTTATAGCACAGAATTGCCTAAAAGAAATCATGTGGAATATCTATTGGGGTTGAGATTGATTCGGTCTATAGAGCCGGCCCCAAGGGAGTAGTTACGGCAGTTAGCCGGCTCTCCTCCTTAAGCGATTCAGTGTTATAAATTGACAAGAGAAACTACGGTAATCAAGCCGGATCTCTTGAATACGAAACGGGGCCACAAGCGGCGAAAAAGAGAAAGACAACAGGTGGAATATTGATGAGGTTAACTTAATGCGGCAACCAGCCGGCCTCATTAGAGTTGTTACGGTAAACCGTGCCGGCACTCTTTTTAAGCGATTCAGTGTCAAAATTAAAACGAGAAAAACTACGGTAACCAAGCCGGATTTCTCGTAATAACGTAAGCCACAAGCGGCGAACAAGAGTAAAAGGTTAAAATGTGGAAATTTCATGGGGTGAACTTAATGCGGTAACTAGCCGGCCCCATCAGAGATGCTACGGTAAACTCGCCGGCACTCTGGCCGCTCGAGGCATGTTGAAGTTGGATGTGCGACGCAAAGGTCAAATTAAGTCTTAACCAGGGAGGCAAGCAAAGAAGTGCTTGAAAGCCGCAGAAAATTGGCTAAGTTTCTCCATGACCTTTAATGGAAATTTGAAGAGAAGTCGGATGACCTTTGGGACCATTACCGCCCGAGAGAGTCATCGTATCGGAATTCAAGTCGCATGACCTTTGGGACCATTAACCCAAAATGAGTCGCACATCTCAACTGATCATCTCAATAAAGGATGACCTTTACCAGGGAGGAAGCGAACTACGCTTGTCTACATGACGTCCCTCCATGACCTTTATGGATCTCATTTTGAAGTCGTACAATTGATATGCACCTTATTCCAAAGATGAAGCAGTATTCCTAAGTCGTACTTGATACGCACCTGATTCTCAAGCGGATTGTGATGAAGTCGCATTACGGATGCGCAGGCTTGCTCAACGGAGCGGAATGGATTAAAAGTGCGGAAAACGGTGGACAGGACCTGTGACCTTTGCGAGTCAGAAATGGAGGATCCTAGTCTACAATTTGATTAATACTTTTGTTGATCTGTTACTGTTGATCTGTTCCTAATGATTTGATAGTATTTTTATAATTGGATCTCTTTATTTCACATTGTATTAAATGGAATTGTGCCTTTACGGAATTGATGTGATAAAATGGATTAAGAGAATTTGATGTTTTTGAGCACGCACAGACACTGGCGACCGTCGTCTTCTCGTGGATTCGGGAGTGTGTCCAGCCTCACTGGAGCTCGGCATCCCCCCAGAGGCATGTGAGACCAGGATCACTAGCGTTCACGTCAGTGGCGCTACGCCTGTGGCGCTACGCCTTAGGATTACGTGTCTGTGTTGTGTCTCTTCTGATTGGCTTGCGTTTTGATAGTGGGCGCGGCATAGCACGTGCTGCACGGTGTTGCACACTGTTGAACGGGCTCTACGTTTTACGATCGAGCTGTGCCGATCACTTGTTGATTTCTGTTGTGCAGATTTTCAATATTATTAAAAGTCAGCGATTTACGGTGCGACGTTTGTGTTTCCGCATAGCTCGCGATCCATATCGTATCGCTCGCTTCCACGGGATAGATTCCGTTTCTGTCTCCGTCTCTGGATCACGGTTGGATCTAGCATTAGACTGCTTTCTACACGTTTTGTATCACGTGGATTAGAAAATTTGGGCTTGTTTCACATATTATCGTTTTGGCTTTTTATTGGTTTTTATCTTGCCTAAATGTTTCTTCACAGTCTCGATCTGTGTCATGAAATGTTTCTTGAACTTTCTTCACACTCTCGATCTGTGCACACATTTTTTTGGTTGTTTTGTTTGTGTATTTTTTAATTTTTATTTTGGCTAGTCAAGAGAAGATGATAAGAGATTCCCTGGTACTTAAAACACGGTGTGCTAATTATCGCAATTTATCGGCAACAAAGATTTCGCACGAGGACAATTTAGTTACCGCCGTAAAATTCGAAGCTTCTCAACTTGTGCTTTGTGAAATTTCCACCTACGTGAACTCATGGACAGAATGTTTAGCCGTCTGTGCCGCTCTTCTACCAAAACATTACTGCCGCAATTTACCGTATGTAATACGAAAAGTTTCTGATCGTGTGGATTTATGATTTATGTTCGGGATCTGTGCTGCAGATCTTAATGCAAACTGGTGGGTATTGTCGGTTAAAGTAGTAACTAGTACTTTTAATACGGCCTGCGAGTACCTGTTTCAATAATATAAAGGTACACAGCAAGCATAATGCAGCAAAAATTTTTTTCCAGCACCAATTCATTATTCGGTACAGTACAATACTGACATTATCTTGACAAAAGCGTCAAAACTTTACATTTTAACGTTTACATCCGGATTCGTTGTGCATTGTGAGGAGAGAAGCGGCTCACGTACAGCGACAAAATCTTTCAAATGATTTCAACGTATTGCGCCGTGGTGCAGTGGTACTGCCTACGCGGATCTAACGACGTAGCCGGGGTTCGATTCCCCCATCGGCGCCTTTTCAGCCGTATCTCGGTTTCCAGTGGATAGCGCCCTGGTTTTATAAATAACTCGACTCGAAAATAACTGACGCTGGCCAATAGGCCCGATACGACCGATTAAAAACCCCGCTTGCACAACTGGTCCGGTCCTGACTTTTTCCTGACGGTCCTTTGTAGTCAATTGCACCTTGAACAACGTGCGCGGATAACGGGATACGTACGGCTTCTTTTCCACTTTTTCATTATTTGTAGCTCACACATATACAACGAGTTTCCAATGATCGCTTGCGCAATGCAGTCATCGTATAAGCGCTTGACTACATAAACAGCTCGGCAGATATAATCCGTAGAACGGTAATTCAGTATTTTTTATTCACTGTGAGCTGAATGATAGGACAACGATATTTTTACTGCTTACTGTATTCGGTCTAATAGTTAGTACAGCGATCCTAGTATGTAATTCTGTAAATCTCGTAACTGATTGGAAAATTATCGCTACAATGGCAGAAGTTACAATTAGCGGATTAATGAGTGTTGTGGCCACCACACTTCTAGTTTGGACCGCTTCCTTCGACAGGACAGCAGCAGCAACCGGCAACTCGTTAACATTCTTGGATGACATTTACATCAACGGTGCACCGAATCCGCATTTTTCCGCGGAATTCTTGCTGCGACAGTACATTACCGGCGCCATTCCCCTGTACCGTTTGCCACCGAAAACCATGCAGCAGATCCGCGACGACGTCGAACAAGAACTTGCCAGACAGCGGGAGGCCAGGGACCGGCATAACTTCCAGAAGCAGCTAGAGAATGAGGCGACGATTCAAAGCTATTTGGATGCCCAAGCCGCCGCCAATGAAACCAACACGCCGCGGATTCAGGAGATACGCCGAGCATTCCAGCTGCGTCGGAACGAGGCTCAGCGGCTGCAGAATGCGGAAGCCCTGAAGTACCAACAGCCGGTCTCCACTGAAGACAGGCAACAGTTGGAAGCCGCTGACTTCCTTGGTAATATAATGGCGCCAAAGCCTATCGACCGTGATCCCTGGGACAACGGTTGATATGGCATGGTCTGGTGTGAAAATACGTAAATGTTGTGCATGCAAGTGTCTTGGTTTTATATTTATGTTCTAGTACTTAGTATACTCAGTTTCATGTACTTATTGTCAGTAGGTTTTTGGTCTCATTTTCTAAGCAATTTGTGTGTTGTTTCAATTGCTTGTTTGCTTCAGAATTTTGCGGCATTTAGTTAGTAATAACTTTTCTTGAAAACGCTATTAAGTATGATTAAAAATCGTGATGTAACTGCACTGCATTATAATAAAACTTAACGTAACTCTTTTAATTATGCAACAGTAATTAAGAATGTGAGAGATATATACGGCAAAATCTGCAGTGCAAATGTTTGTTCGGATCCAAGAAACCAGACCAAGAAAGAATACCGACGTTCGCATTAATTTTATTATGAGTATCATAAAAAAGAAACAAGTCCAGTTAGACTGACCGGTAGGCGCTTCTGTGCGCTGCATAACGGGGTGCTTGTGACAAATTCGCGTTTGTACAGCTTTTCTAAGTCAAAAGAACACATGCAGTGTTTCTTATTAACTAACGAAACTGTTACAAAATGTTAAGTATTTCAGCTCTCCAGATGCCGGTAGTATTCGTAAGTCGTAACTGGCATGGTGTATACTGTACTCTTACGGTATTTGTTCATAACAGTCATTATGTACTTGACTGGATGCGCATAAACCCAAAGCTCCAGCACTTTTTTATTGGGCCAGAATCATAAAGAAATTGCTAATGTTATCATACAAATACAAATTCACAATTTTATAATCGTCTCATTGACCTCATGTCATACACGCACTAATACTGGATGCAATGCACATGCGCAGCACTTTGGCAGCAGGGCAAGGTTTTTTTTAAATTCGAATTCATAATTAACCGGCATGGTAGATTCCAGTCCTTGGCAAATTCAATCGGGTATGTCCTCGACAAAAAACAGTTCCGTATTCGGTATTGTTTATTTCTTTTCATTATTGTCCAAACTCTGGCCATTGGCATATATTTTTCTACAGTACAGATACAGATTGATAGTTTTTTCCCATTGCGCTTTGCAGTTTGCACTGTTAGTAAGTACTCTACCGTAGTGCATACAGACTCTGTATATGCACTACTCGATGTAATCAAGCGATTTCGCATGCAATCGGTACCGTACATAAGCAACTGTCGTATATTTTATAGACTCATATTCATTTTATAGACTCGTAATATTCTGGGTTTTAACATCACTCCACTCCGGGTGCGGATAATTTAAATGCTAAAAATGTCTCATCATTCAATGAAGACGACGAAAGGGAGGACGTCCAAGATGGTGTATGCTGGGGATATTATTGTAGAGGGCGAACCCTGGGTGTGGTCGTTTGAGTGGTCGCGTTACGAGAGTTTTTGTGCCGGTTGTTTCAAGCCGGCACCGAATCTGCCTCGATGTCAACAGTGCCAACTACACCGATACTGCAGTGTCAGCTGCCAGGTATGTTGACCCGTATACCATATTTTTTGAATTTAACGCCTCCTCCAAAATTGAAACCTCCTCTATCGTATAAGCCTCCCCCCACATTAGTTCAAAAATTTAGTAGCCTCCTCCGCATTGGAGTCCTCTCTTCATATACGGTGCATAGTTAAATAACGCTAGTTTAAAGGCTTCGAAAATTTAAAAGCCTCCCCCGCAATATAAGCCTCCTCTGCGGTATAAGCCTCACCCCGTGCACCTTTGAAAATTTAGAAGCCCAGGGCTTCTAATTCGAAAAATACGGTATGTCTGAAATCTATGACGTCGGAAAACTACTTCTGACGGGACGACAAAAAGAACTTTTTGCAAATCTAAAAACCTATTCTAAAACTTGAAATTTCTGATAACGCCTTTTACGGTGAAGCTAATTTAACCGTAATGGTAATAGAAGAATAATTTTACTAATAATCTGACGCTGGTGCCGTACAGCAGTTGAAACACTCGATAACAGCCCTGACCTATTACTGCATACCATATTTTTCTCCAGCGAACAGATTGGAGGAAAGAACATAAAGTGGAATGTGCATTGTTAAAACGCATCCTGAAGGTAAAGAACGACATTGAACCCGGATCAGCACAAACTGCTGAACTGGAGCAAATGAAAAAGGCACACCACGGGAGTACAAGGCGAAGACACCCTTATCGGCATGCGTATGGTACTCCTGCTGAAAATTATCCAAAAAATTCAGGTATTAAGGATGACGGTTACAAGTAATCACGCCAGAATTGATATGTGTAGTGCGTACATCACTGTCCACTGAATACTAAAAACGTGATATATGTTTTGCTTTGTAGAACATCTTAAAATTCATTTGTATAACTCTCATTCCTTTGTTTGCCTAATCACCATATCTCCCCTGTAGGAGACCTGTTGAATATCTCGTAAAAAAGTGAAAACTTGAGCGTTATGAAACTAATGAAAGCCAAAATTTACACTGGTTTGGCATTTATGAATCAAATAACCAGAGTAGCCGAAGCGGTCTCTTGATACGTTTCGGTTTCCTGAAGTAGACATAGTTGCGTTACTTTAAACTTGCTCGCTCTTATAGGAAACGAATAAGAAGAATGCTTCTGCGAGGAAGGAGAAAAAGTCAGACAAAGATATCCTGCAATTATTTCCATACGATGCGGATAACAAGCGGCTGGAGCAGCTGTATGCAGCATTTTCCGCTCGACTCTGCAATGTAAATCTTTGTTAAACTGTATTGTACTATTATTTGCTGGTTACAGTGTTAAGGATATCATTGATGAGACGTTCTTCAAGCAACTGGTGGCAGACGTTTTCGAGGGCCAGACAGTCCTTCCCACAGCGGAGATCAAGGACATTTTCAGCCGGGTCATGAACAATCAACTGCCGATTACTAATTGCACCGAAGATGTGCCTACGTTCTTCGGTATCGGTCTGTATCCGTGCGTGCCCAAAGGAGCAATGGAGACAGTCTGTTCCGACCACAATGTAATCGTCATGTTTCGTGGCCGGCAAGTGCGACTGCAAGCAAGCGATGATATCCCGGATTTTACCGGCGTACTTCAGGTATGTAATTTCGATGCCGATTGGCTATCTAGTATCTGGGTGACCTTTAGTGACTGACAGTATTCGGCTGCTGAGGAATCGTTTTTTTATGAGCTTGATTATTTACTTTGCTTTCAGACACGACTGCGCAGCTCGAGATCTTTATGTTGCACTATGTTTTATCCGCTAAAACAGAGGCAATATCTTTTTGGGGAGGAGTACGGGCGAGAGTGTAACTGCCGTAAATGCACCGAAGAATTTGTAAGAAATCGCAAATGACATGCGTACACAAGTAATGCCGTTGCTGTATAATTGTTTAATTGATTATTGTTACTCGTATATTTGCAAGGATGCTGATATCAATCCTCTGAAATGTGTCACCGATGGGTGTACAGAGCGTATTCCGAGCGACGAGCGTGCATTGCTTCCCTGTTCACAATGCGGTGTGGTTAGCGCCGGAAATTTGCACAAATTTAAGAAGTTTATGGCCAAAAACCAAGCACTTCTGCAAACTTGTGTGCCAACGGAAGACAATATGAATTATCAGTCGATGGAGATCAACAAAATGACCATTTTTAAAGAGCTGGAAAGTTTGAACGTTTTGCAGCCAGATGCCCATCTGCGCTACGCCTGCGGTAGGTGCGTGGCGGAATACTATCAGGATAGCCAGCGATACGAAGAGGCATGTAAGCTCTTCCAGGAACTCATCGTTTGCTTACGGTACGTTTTCTCTTACTCTGTTACAAAAACTGCTTCTCTATTCTCAAATACAATAATTTTCTTTGGCTAGCAAAGGGTGCGCAATCTTTCAAACGTCTCTTTAAGAATAAACAGAGATTAATTTGTCTGTCGGTAATTATAGTGACTAACTTTTAAAACCAAAACGGCTCGCAAGTTGTACATAAGTGTTTTCTTGGGTTGTAGCAAGGTCTATCCGAAGTACAATGTGGAGCGCGCCGAGTATCTGTGGAACGCCGCGTACTGCTCAAGAAAATGGTTGCATTGGTCTTTTGAGCAGGGTACGCACACTACACGGGAAGAAAAGCTCCGTGTGATTCCATTGATAGCGCAAGCGGTTTCGGCGGGAGTCGATTACGTAAAAGAAGCCCTGATGATCTATGCCAAGATTTGTGGACGGGAATCGAAGGTCACCCATGAGATGGCCAGGCGACTGGAAAGGCAAAAGGAGGCATCAGCACAGATGCAACCATTTCTTCAATATCGGGACGAACTTGTTACATCCAACAGCCGCTGATGCTTTTACATAATTGCCCAACGCGTGGTATACCGTAGATGTTGATGAGTTTGGGGCACCCAGGTTTTTGCAGTAGTATGGCTGAAAATGTAATAAGCCCGCGCTCTACATTTTAGCATTATTACATTCACGTCTGTTTTTTTTTGTAATTTTCTTCTCTTTGAGTTACTTTCAGCGATTTACAATAAGCATGACCATGGTAAACAACTAGCTAATGGTAAGATAAATAAGTCAAGTTACACTGGCAAGAGCCACTTGGCAAATAGCTGCCTTACGAGATGTTCGTCTGCATTTGCATAATTTGTTTCGGTCTTTATTTTTGGATGGTTTTGTGAATGTATTACTAATTTTACGTTTACCAGATTCAGCGTAACTTGGTATAACTGAATGACAGAGTTATTATGAAATATAAATCACCACAAGCAGTCATTAGTGACACCAGTTCCTGGAGGTCGTCCCAAAGGTCACATTTATCAGGCGATCGTCCTCGTTAAGAAACCTATTCTTCTAAACTATCTGAACAGTAGATTTAAATTACAGTAGATCATACTATGTATTCACAAGGACAGAAGATTACTACGTACATATTCCGTGAAATATTTACGAAGCACTTCTGTGGCAGCAGTACGTACAGCTGTACAATTATTAAATGAGCAATTCAGGCAGCTTCAGTTGAGCAAGCAGATTGGCCGAGATTTCGGGTTGACTAAGTGTTTAATCAGTCATGTGCACAGGAAAAGTAGGATCGCATAATAAGCAGCTCCCACAAATCCAATTTACCGTACAAAATGAGCTCAATTTTCCATACTACTAAGTCTTGCTTGTTAGTTTCGACTTTGTATAAGCGAGACGTTCATTGCGTTTCTGCTGGAACTATCTGTATAAGATGGTTGTTATTGTAGAAACTATTGATATCCAGTAATTGCGAAACCATAGAATCCGCAGCTTTAAAACTGACCTTTCCATGATCTACTAAATTACAATCGAAGCAGACACTCAAATGTCAACGACATACATATCAGCAAAAACTAAGACTTTTGTCGTATTGCCTTATTGATTACGAGTGCTTAAATGGAATTGAAAATATATTTTTCCGTCTGATCAATACTCATGAACTTTCTGAATGCAGCACAACTGCAGTTGTACATTTGATGGAGCAACAAATAATTACACGCGTCGTAGATATTAGTATCGGTCTTCTAGAGTGGAATGTAATTGTCCGGCATAATTGTTTCAAAAGCGGCATCGGAAACTGGCAGTACAATTTTATCCGCCATATACAGATCCGATCGCGCAGCAATCGTCCCCCCGGAAACCGAACCAGTTCAGTCGAACAGATTGGTCCCGGTATCCGGCAATGTGGCGTATTACATATCCATTTCCCGGATTATCGACCTGTACATGGGGAGGCCAGGCAGGCTCAACATCCCTGCCATACAAAACATCCGCGCGCGCGCATCCACATGTGTTTGGGCGGCGTTTTTTACCGGCGGCGGTTGGGCGGTGAATGCGCAGTAGTCGCCATTGTTGCGGGTATATCATGCGCCGTGTTGTGCTTTTCCCTTCATACAGCAGTAGCAGCACTTATCCCGCATTTACGAAAAACGGTATATATACACACCGATATATATATTGATGCTCTTGGGTGCTCCTGTATATGTTATTGATCTGGGATGCGATTTATCTATAGACCGGCATCGGCGCTTAATTGTCATTCCCGGCGTTTTTACAATAGTGTCACTCTCCTCTCTCCCGGTTATATTATACGAGCGTTGGCCGGTTTTGACAGGCCACACCTGAACATTTTTCGGTGACGTCCTCGTTTAAACGCTGATCTGGCACGGCGGCGGTGGCGGCGGGAGACAGTACAGTGAATTCCGGACCGACCGGGAGATTCCCTCCGTGTTTATTCTCCCCGTTTTGCACCTGGATGTGCGGTGTTTACATGAGGTTGCATTGATCCGATCCGTACACATTGTTGCCGTGTAAACTTTAGCTATTGTTCGCGCTTGTCATCGATATTAATCTCTGTGAAGCAATTTTTACTTACGTGCATATTAACGTTGAACGATGATTGTGTATTATACTGGAATTCGCCCGCATGTTGACATCCGGAAATTGTGATTTGTAAATTCAACGAACATTAATCATAGTATGGATGGGGATCACGGTAAGCGAGACAGATTAGTTTTCTGGTTTTTATATGATCGGTTTACGTAATAAACAAGCAGATTACTTGTGGTGGATTTTTCTGTAATCCGTCCGGCATGATTTCGCAGCCCTGTAAAATAGCCGAGAATAATTCTGTGACCCAGTTACCGTAATAAAAATATTTTTTATTGCCATAACAAATTGGCTTATAATTCATCCAGAATTGCAATTTATTATGTACGCCTGAATGTTATGATACATTGAGCCATCGCTTCCATTCTGGTGTTTATTTTCCACTTGGCTTTTAATTTCTCCAATCGCCGGCAGCATTTTTCAAAACAGCCCCTCTTTCCTGCAATCCGTATACGTCTACGGAATTGAGTTTGTCGCGATTATTTATTATAATTTTCTTTCCATTTCCTTGGCGCATTCCCATGGGTTATCGGGAATGTTTGGACACAGTCATGCTATCCGGTAAGCGACGGGGCATATACATACATACACGCCGTGTATTTAAACGCGGAGTTGCCATCTTGTTCCCTAGGCCACTGCCGGCTTCCGGTGCAGCAGGGCAGCGGCCTGAATATGTCCCGTAGATACATTAACACCGTCTTCCGGCAACCGGATACTAAACCACCATCTTCAAAGTTCACGATAATACTGATTAATTAGAAACATCCCCAGCAGCCGACAACTAACTGGCCGCTTCCGCTGTGCTGCACTGCATATATGCGCGCCCGAGTTAAATTGAGCCGTTTCGGGGAACGTTTGTTTAAATGCCCAGAGATTGACGGCGTTTAACGTTGTGTGTAGCAATTTACGATGGGGATAGGGAACTGCCTATTGCATATAATATGTGTGTCTTAAGAAAGTGTCCGCACACACCGCGCCGCGCAGCGTAACTGGCCCAGCTGGTTTTTATTGAAAGTCAATTGGCTGTATACTGGCCTGGCTGCTTTGTCTTGGATGTAATCCACTTAAGTCCAAAACGGGATCAGATGACATTGTCATATATTCCCGTGCACGCTGGAGCAGGCGCCAGCTTAACATGCGAGTTTTTTAACGCTCTAAGTCGCTCTTAAGCTCAACTGAAATACTCTTGACTTCCCTGTGCTACATTTGACACGTCGTTCTGCAGCACATTTCTGCTAATTTTAAAGGCAAATAAAATTTCGGTTTCCGGTACTGCAAATATTTACCAGATATATCAGTATTCACGTATTTCTACTGTATGCTAGTCACGCATGCACGTTATCAATTCCTTGAAATAAAAGTGTACTACTCTAATGAAAATCTCCACAAAATTGGTTTTCATATGCATACAAATTTTATTTATTGTCCTTGCGTTAGTAAAAATTTCACAATCATATGGAAAACATTAAAAATCTGTGATAAAATTTGGGGATTTTAAGCCGAGCTTACTGTATTACATAGGTTAAACTTTTGTTTAGCGCGTAGCGTTTTTTTTAGTCATGTGAATGGTGTCCACTGTCATGCTCCATGCATTAAAAAAGGGTTTTAGTGGAAGCTGGTATGCAGCGTGAGTATTGTACAAATCCAAAAAAGCATGTTCAAAGTGAGAGCGTTACATAATTCATGGATGTCAAGTACGGTACAACGCTTGGCAAGAGCCTGTGTAAATAATTGATGCACGATACGGGCAGCCGGCATACTGTATGATATCAGACATACACTGCTGATTGAATATGCAGCATCAGCGGGTAATTTGATTAAATTGGCTCTACAAGTGGCTATCGCCGGATTCTCTGGATGGGATGATATATTACACGGCAATTCCATTGCCCTTAATACCTGACTCACGTGATTTGCAGAATAATAGTAATAATAATAAATGCGTAATAATAATAACATTATGTTTTGTGTGTGTCGAGCACATAACAGCATTTCCTAACCTCTACGTACATAATTCCCTTTAGAGAGAAATTCCCTGATACCATTCGTTCAACTATATTTTCAGGGTCGAGGCAAGTACAGAGTCGGTAGTTGTAAGGTTGTTTAGTGGTGCTATTTTTCTTTACAAAGCAGCATTTGACTATGTAAATTGGTGTCGCTGTTGTGATGGCAGATCGCCGGGACCAGTTTAAATTCTTAAAGTACCTACAATACGCAATATTATTCAGCTTTTTAAATATTCAAACTTTAAAGTAAAATGATAATATTATTGTTGAAATTTTATTGTGCATATACGTCAATCTTACACAAATAATATGCATATATAAGTGATATTCATTGGTTTTTGATAGCGTTGATACAGTCTCATTTAAGCACTGTAATTTTTTAAGCTGTACATATTTGTACTGGTAGCAAATGCCGTACATTATTTACTGCAGTCGATGTTCATTTCGCACACAACCGATTGGTGGGCGGAAGAGGGTGATGTCGAATGCAACTCAGGGAAATTATTAATCATCATAACTGTGCATAAGCGGCTGTAATCGATTAGACGCATTATTGAGATTTGCAAATAAACGCAACCCAGTTGACTGATGATGGGTTAAAGAGCTCAGCACAGATAAACACACATAATGTATATATGCACAGTAGCGCGGTATATAACACTATTATTTTTCTGGATATACGCCGGGGTGCCGGAGTAATCCCGTAATGGACGGGTGCCGGCGAACGCGTTGTATTGGGAATCGATCGCAGATTCGCCATTTACCAGCTGTCATGTTCCCTACTCCATAATTAGCACCGGGTTGTGTTTTCCGGTTATCCTGTCGGTCAAGTTCCCTGACAGGAAGCATATCCGGCCAGTGCAGTGCCGCCGGCGGAAAACGGGGTTGAAATGCGCCGAAAAAAGTACGCAGGATCTCTGTAAGCTGAGCATACAATGACCATACGGTACCAACAGCTGCATAATTTAGGGATAGAACCCTGAGCTGTACACGCACCAGAGGAGTTTTTTTGGGAGGGCGGTGTTTCTCCTCCTCACATTAACTGTCTGTTCAGAAACCATATCGATTTTTGTTTCACTAAAATTAAAATAGTTCTGCTATACAATAAGCAATAAACATGAAATGATTTATAAAAAAATAAATCAAGCTATTTCAGAGCCCTATTTTATTCGGAATACACGACAGCGAAGCGAGCTAATTTATGTAATCAAATTGCCGGTCAAATTTGTCCAACGTAACGTCGAATTTACGCATGCATAGGACACAGCCTGAAGAAACAATAACCGAAAGGCGATTATTAAAAATATTAAAAGCAGCATTGTTGTGAAATATGCGCAAACGTTTTATCCAATGAAGTTCTTTTTTCAAAATCTGCATAAATTTAGTTGGTCTTTATAAGATTTTTTACATCAAAAAATATTGTATCAAACAGTTTTGCATATGTAAATACTACCGTCAATTTTTTTCGAGCTTATACGCGGTACATGGGATCATTAATTTCGAGAAACTTTGACACTTTTGTGGAAACATATGATATGCGACGTAGCATTTGATATATATCAACACTAGTACCAGTACTAGGATATAATTGACGTTGAGTATGGAGCGTCAGGGATACTGGTGGCGAAATAGCGTGTGCATTGCGGGTTGTATTAGTTGATTGGCCCGGGTACATGTCACCGGTGCACATATGTGTGCCCATGAATCCCCATTGCCGATTATAAGCCGAACTAATCAACTCTTGTTATTCATCTCCCGAGGTACACCGCAACGGCACGGAATCCTTGTTGACCGGCTGCGCAGTGCGTGACGCCTACGGTTCGCTGCGGTGCGCATATCCACCGTAACGGAAGTGTCTTCGTGATTTTCCCACCTCTAATTCAATCAGACCGCATCCACTCTTTTTCATTCAGCAAAAAAATTGGAAAATGCACTACCGTCGATATGAATGCAGGAGTCCAACGTACAAATGCACTGATCAAATCCTGAAAGAACATGTTTTTAAAAATATATAATTACATATTAATAATGCAGCACTGGTTGCGCGCCCGCTGCAAATCAGGCATACAACCGGAGAAAGAAAACCAACATTTGTAATTATAATGATTTCGTGAGGTTTTGTTAGCCCATCAAAAGTATGAGATTTGGTTTCGATATTATCTTTTAGTAACAATTTAAAATTACATTTTGTTAAGGCAACCGGTTTCGATTTTTCCGATGCAAAATGGAGTAATTCAACTGTCACACTTTCCAGTATTATAACTGGAGCCTTAATAAACTCATGCTTTCTAACTAACTATATTATTAATAAAATATTTATATGACACCAAATCTATACCGTGCCAGCACCTTGTGAGTGACCTCACTTTCAGATACCGGTTAATTCGACACGACTACGTATTAATCATTTATTACCGTCTGGATACCGTTATCCGTAGGAGGACATTTAATTGCAATGACGTCAAACGCAGGATCATTATACCTATTTTTTACAGCACGTTTTCCTGTTGCACGTGTGTACGATGACTGCCATACGATCTCATCATCCGATTTGCATACACGCGACGCGCGAACGATTAGAATGTTTTCTTTGGTTTTGCGCAGAATGCTTTATGGCCTTGTACCACGATAATGGTACATTGTCGTAACGACCTTTTTCCAGTGGGTTTCCCCACAGCTGTTTCATCTGCAATTAACGGCATGTATCTGTTCGTTGTACGACTGACTACACAGTCAAAGCAAAACTTTTCAGGAGAAAATTAATATTTAAATATTTATTAATAAGACAAAAATGAAAAATGCAACATATTGGTGTGCAGTTTTATAAACCAACCACCATACAGGCAGTCAAAAAATACGCTCCATACAACTTTGAAATGCGCATCTCAACAAAAGTGGATATTCAAGTGCAGGTGCTTGTTGTAACACACGTCTATGATAATTTTTTAGGAAACTAATAATGTATGCTTTGTATACTATTAGGCTGAAATGTAAAGTTTAAGCAGTCAGTACAAAAAAACTGGGAAGGAAATTAAACTATAGCAAATACAAACTACACTTAGTACAATATAATACCCCGTCGCCGTTTATTTATGAACGTCATATAAACCGCATTCTGCTTACGTAACGGGATATTGAAGGTGTCAGCCAAACCGGAAATGAGGCGCGAAATAGCCTGTCAACGCCGAGGCACACCGCAAACGTAAACATCACATCAATTTACGGTTGGTGGAATGCGTTACGTGCATATATATGTATACATGATCCGTCCCTCTCTTACATGCATACAACAAAAGTCAACAATTTCCGTACACCGCCGCGGTGTGATTTGCCTTGTGTGTTCCCATTAATATATCCTGGAACAAAGGGAACGCCCCGTTTGCGCACACTAAATACGTGTATGTGTCAGTTTTAACGGCTTTCATCGGCCGGGGACGAAATAATAAGTATCTTCCTGGTCATATCCCAATAAAACCACAATGTACCATGAGAGAATGGGGCGGTGTATACACGCATACATTCACTGCTCTGATTGCTGTTTTGGCGACATGATTACATTGATATAATCATGTCCGCCATGAGAAGATTGTACCAGGAAAGTGTGCTCCTTGCATTCGTGTGCCTAAACAAATTTAACTGAAAGAATATTTTCACCAGTTTTTCTGAATACGAATGGTGTTGCTTAATTTGTGGTTAGAAAAAACCCACTTATATAAACCGGTGTGGTGGAAACTGCACAAGAATTCCAGGAAGTCAGCGGTTAAGTTGAGTAAATTGCCGGCACGTCGTCGCGCGGTGTCCGTATAATATTCTACATGTACCGTGTCCGTCGCCGCGGTCACACATATAATGGCCAATCCTCTTTTTCGGGAGTACAAAAGAGAAGGGAATAATTTCCTCTTGGTAACTTAATCATGGAGAAATGCGATGCCGACTGTATCAGCGCGTGTGCACAGCAGCGACGAGCGTGTATACATGTGTAACCGGAGTTTAATTTCTTAGATTTGATACGTGCCATCCGATCCCTTTTACATGCCAGCACGCCTTTCCCCTGGCTGGGGCTATCGAAATTTCGGTGTCCCCGTCCTCAATTGCAGCGCTTTTGACGGGATCCCTTTTTATCCCGTTTTTCATCATGCCAATGGGCTGGTTTGTGTGAAGACCGTGTGCTGTCGGATGGTGGCGGGTTTTGTTCTGTACCTTCGATGTTGTATCTCCTACATAGTGCCAACAATCCACGTTTTGTCATAGTCCAATTTTGTATGGTGGGTTTTATCGTGTTTCCGCTGTGCTGCCTCGATAATCTGATATTTTATCGAAGGTCATTGCCAAAAACTGGGAAAGCGGATACAACTGGGACAGTATTGTTTAAACGCGGCATTTATACGTTATCCATGTTACCATTGTTGGCCTATCAGTATTCAGCTGGACTGCCGATGCCGATTGAATTACATGTTGCCGAGTGAATGAACTTGACAAAGGTCACGGGTAAGATTATGTTCTCACGCTGCCAGCTGTTGATCGGCTTAGATGCGACACCACCGTGTAATGCAGTATCATAACGCGCCGCATAAGACTGTCGCCGGGGTTTTCGCAGAATGGAATAGCCAATCGCGTAACGGCATATGTTTCGTTAAGCTAACATTACACAGTATATTGTTAGAAGCCGGTTGTTGACCAGAAACGGCTATTTTTTATCGATCTGAAAAGCGTTTATCCAAACATCCCTTTCACCAAATTTTGGCAATTTTCAGAGCAAAAACGGTATACGGCTGTAATGCTGTAATTGCTATAAAAAGCGTGAATTTGATACAGTGATAACGGAAGTGACGGTAATGACAATAACCTTGCCGGAATGAAGGGGCATTTTCAGTCCTCGGAAATCGGACTCCGTCGGATGTGCATGTTGACGAATCTGTCTCTGTCATCACCCCACGATTAGTCCTATAAGAAACGTACATAACAGCCAGGCACACGGTAATTATATCATGTTTGTTCTGTAACCTATAGGCAAATATATACTGGCATATTTAAATGAAAATTTATATCGTGATCATTTTTGCATTGTTTTGTGATAGCATTGTACACCTTAAGCAAACTGCATAAAAACGGTTTCCCGCCCTTTTCTACTTCCCGGTTTCCCGGAATATTTATTTCTGTACTGGTACATTTATATGAAATCTATACCAGATCATCTTTTTCCATGTTTGCGATAGCATTATGTTCACTTTAAGCAAACTTTATAAAAACGGTTTCCGGTTTCTTAGTAAAAATATTTTTGAGTTCTTATCATGCATCCGAATTTCTGTACAACAAAATCACAAGTTACATGTATCTGGTCGTTTTTTTATGACGAACAGCAGTTTTTGCGATCGGTGCAGCATTACGCAGATGTGCTGCTAATTTCGGAATAATCCCAATCACCTTCTCACTTTACGGTTTCTCACCAAGTGATTCTAGTTAATCGAATTTTCTTGGACATTCACGTGATGTTTTGCGCTGGTACAAACTAAGGAGCACTAACCGAATCAGGCGGCGCACTCGCTGTACAAACAGTAAGCCAGTCAAGCCCGCCAATTTCATTTTGTGGAGCTGCACGCAACAGATGCCACACGGCTCCCCGATCTACTCTAGAGATTTACATTTGCTAGCTTGCAAAAGTGCACGTGCAACAACGTGTTGCTAAAGTAAAGAACTGAAAATTTTCCTGTATGAGAAACATTCGCCGACTTTCGGTTCACGTGAAGGTATATTTCTGTATACAGATCCTGTATATTTCCGTGTACATCTATAATATGTTTTTAATCTATTTTCCTGCGTCTTCAAGCTGATTTTAATTCACTTAGGTTTTGCTCTTATTTTTCTGTAACATGCATTTTATTTTTTATCAAGCCGCATAACATTAGCTCAGCACGTTCTGGTTTCATATTTACGCAGGCAATTAACATGTCTGGCGTAAAGCTGTTTAGAATTGTTTATTCTGAAAAGTTGCGTATCTCTCGACAAAGGAGTACGTAGAGCTGTTTGTTGACTGGATCTGGGTGTGCCGTCAACGCTGTAGAAAATCTACTGCGTACATTACGAGTACGATGAACATGGAAAGGGCGACCGTAATCGCAACATACGTAGTTCTGCTTTGGCCTTTGGGTGAAGAAAAATTGCATTTACTTTCAAACTGAGAGGTTATATGGCAACCACGCCTGATTGCTCACTGGTTAGCCGGCTGTAATGCAAGCAAAAATGTACAATCTCAATTTAGAGGAGTAAAGGTAGAAAACAGCGAACACTTCGCTGGTTGGACGTAGCACGAAATATGACCCATTGACGGAGATTCGAGATGCTCCTGATGAATGGCTGAGGCTTTTTTAATCAGCTGCTTCTCCGTATGCGGCACGTGAGAAGCAAGCAATTCATCTCATCACACCGACGGCAAAAAGAAAAGACGAGAGATCTGAAAGCGCTGATTCAGGGACGATTTATCCTAATTCCCTGTTGCTACAGTACTCTGTAGTCGTTCCTTTTCCATGAAACGTAGAACGCAACAGTCATTTTAATGCAAACCGTGTGGTACTGCGAATTGGGGTTCAACGACAAGTTAAAAGCGGTCGTTAAATTACAAGAAATAATAAGAATAAGATACGTACGTACAGATATTCATAACAGATAAAAAATTTCTAAATTATACAGTTGTACATATTGCACGATAATATATACCCCACGGTTCCCGCGAACGATAATCGTGGGAAAATGTACTCGCAAACCATCACGAACAAAGCGATTAATATTTATCAATTTTTCTGTGTAGTTTTGTTGATTAAAATCATAAAATAACATTCCCACGAATAAATATCGTGAGAACTCATAAATTTCTATGAAATTTAGCCTTATTGTAAGATGGAACGGTGATAATCAATATTGGTGCCGGGGAAAATTTGGCCATTTCATCACGAACTTCCGCCGGCCATTCTCCTCTAAGAGCAACATTTGAAAAACTTTAATCCAAATGTTATTCTTCAGTATGGAGACAGTCTCTCCCAGTAAAATCAACATCACGTCTCCGCACCGTGGCGCGGGTTACTGTTGACATTCCGCTTATAAACCGTGAACTCCCTGGTATACGGTTTATATGTCTCCCAGAAAAAGTCTTCTCCGCGCTTCGTGTTGACATAAACGCCCATCGAGCTGTAAAATTAAAACAGTGGCAGCAGCGTCTTTAACAAGCACCTTACGATTAACAAGACAACGAACTTGACAACAGTGGCAATATCCGGTGGATTGGCGCGAAACACTCGCTGAGCTTGTGTGCTAATGGGAACTTGGGAATGTTGACAGGCTTTTCAAGGATGCTGCACTATGTATACAGCGTGCAGTGTGGTCACTGTTTAAGACAGGGAATAGATTTGAGGAATAATTTGTTGTACAGTGTGTATCAAGTGTGCTGTTGGCAATATAGGGCAAGACAGTGGAAGCTCCCCCAGCAGCACACTTAAGAAGTATTCAGCTGCATATTTGATCACTTCAGAAGTACTTTTCACGAAAAAACTGTAGGCACAGTCATCGTATTAAATGTAATCCTTTTCAAAGCAATAAATACTGAGAGAAATATTTTCTCCAAGCATTTCGCACAAAAATTTTAATAAGAAAGCTGGCATAAATGATCCCTCGTTGTACAGGATAATTGTTTTGACAATATTTAATATTACTCGTCGTAGAACGAAGCGCCGGCTGTTTTCTATGATGAATAATGTTGTAGTTGCCCTAAATTAGGTGCTAACATGGCTAAATTTTATTTAATAATTTTTCCATTAGTAATGCATGCCATGATTACGAAGGCTGCCGCAAAACCAGCCGTTTGCATCAAGATGAATGCCCTTTAAACTTTGATGATATGAATGAATAATTCGGTTAATCCAAATGGGCCTTTGGTTTTTCCCGGCATCCGGTGTATCTGCTATCACTTATTACCATTGGCATTTGCGCTGTGTAAAGAGATAATACGGGAAAAAACTGCAGCGAGCGATTACTGCTTATAAAGAAAACAAAAGGCCTTTCCTGTCAGCAAATCCCTATCGATTCGCCTCCGCCATGCACTGCCGTCTCTAATGGTATAACACATACGGTGTGTTTTTATTGCATTTTCGCGAGAGCGCGCCGCGCCGGCACATTAGCTCATTATCCAGCCGTCACAGTTTTTCCCCCGCGCGCGTTACCATATTGCGGCAGCCGTATAGTTACCCCATTCCCGTTAACTCTCTTTCTTTCCTCCCTTCCTCTATTTCTCTCTTCCTCCGTCGCTTTCCCTCTCACCCACTTCCTCCCGCAACATATGTAATCAATTTAACACTCTATAATAATTTCATCAACATCATCCCCGGCAAAAATATCCGCGCGTGTAACTGTATGGTATTAGATTAATCTTGCACACTAGACCATTTTCATCATCTATTCTCTTTTCCGGTACCGTACAGGATCCCCCACTCGTCCAATCCGCAGTGACCGGCTCCGCCTCCTGGCGCGGATACCACGGTGGTGAGACTGCACACGGCACCGCCCCCTAATTGCAGTGCGGTCCCAATTACCATCCCTTTTACCACGCACACGTATTATAAGTGTACGCATTTTATACATATATACGTATATATAAGCGGGCGGTGTTAAGCCGGCCGGAAGGAGAAGCCGGCAATGTCGATTCTGTATCCGGATGCCCTGGCCGATTTAGATATGAGCGATCAGTATACATGGGAACTGCATATGACCATACTGAATAGCAGCGGAATGAACGCCACGAATCTGTTTGGGAATGCCAGCGGACGGATGCAGGCCTATGAGGATGATAATCTCATCCATCGGCCGCTGGTCAAAGGCCTCATCTGCTGCCTGTACGCCATTATCTTCGTCTGCGGGATTTTCGGCAATGTCCTGGTGACATTTGTGGTCATCCGCAATAAGGCCATGCACACGGTGACCAATTTCTTCATTGCCAGTCTGGCGGTGAATGATATTATCATCTGCTCCCTAACGGTCCCGCTGACGCCGACGTACACGTTCCTGGATGGATGGTAAGTTCTCGAGTGCGTGTAGCATAGTATTTTGCGCAGTAATGGCGGAGTATATGTATATATGCATTATGTATTCATGCTGGGTTAATTTAATTTACTATTCATAACGGGCACGTCGCTTCGCCGGATAATTTGCCACGGTTAATAATAGATGTTCTTAGCACGCGGCAAGCGGCATTTTATTCCGGTGCAAAATAAGGAAAAACTCTCATTCCACCGCGTACATATTTTTGTAATTACAAGGCACGACATGTGCTGCTGTCTTTCATACAGCAAAATTAGATTAATCAGATAAACAGACCGGCAGATGTACATGACTACATGGCGCATCTGTTGGTAGCAGTAATAGGTAAAAATTACACAGCACACAGTTAACACAGCGAAAAGATTTCTTTACAAATAAGCAATCAATATATATGTTTGCAACGCAGGTTTACTTTGTTCAAATTGGTAGATGCACACATCAAATGACCCAGATTTATATGATGTAAATAGGAGCCCAATAAAGAATTAAACGCGATAATTTACTGGTTACGTAAATCATAAATTGCAAGACACTTTTACTATCCAAAAAATATGCACTACTTCCATAAAGCTTGTCTGCGTTCCCTAAATACACTTGGCATCCAGCACGTGAATAATCCTCCCCAAGAACTGCTACTACAGAAAATTTATTTGTATTTACATTTAACATCTGACCGGCGATCGTAACCCGAACGTGTAATCTTCCTCTTGCACGTTTTTAAACCGCCATTAATGCTGACACATGTGCCAATACACAGCATAACTTGCCGACAACAAACCAGTAAAAATTTTAGCATGCCGCAAATTAACGTCGGCAGCATCGTTAAGACAGTACGCCGGCGTGTTGTGGCAGTTGCTCCGGCATATAACAAATTGTCGACGTCGTTTGTCATCCGCGATTGGCAGGGGCACTTCTTCACAGATAACCATCTCGGTCATAAAACGCCAAACCCAATGATGCGCGAAAGTACCGCTACTTGACCTTAACACTAACGGTCTTGTGTATGTTTATATATTATAGGTACTTTGGTGCGTTTATGTGCCATTTATTGCCACTGGTCACCGCTGCCAGCGTCTTCATCTCCACACTGACATTAACCACCATCGCGGTGGAACGGTACTTTTGTATCGTCTTCCCGCATCTCCCGCGACTAGCCACGTATAAAGCCGTCATTATCATCTGCAGTATCTGGATCCTGTCCTTCTCCATTACCAGTCCCTATGCACATTACATGCTGTACATACCGGCGTCAGTGGACGGCCGGACATCGGCCCGCTGCGATGAGCACTGGCCGCAGTACGGGCGGAAGCTGTTCGGCACGGTGTCGCTGGTGGTGCAGTACGCCATTCCGCTGATTGTTATTACCTTCTGTTATCTGTGCATCTGGCTGAAACTGCGCGCCCAGGCCGCCAAAGGTCTGACCAGCAGCCGCAAGGGACGCGATACGCAGGCGCTGATGCGCAAGCGCCGGACCAATCGGATGTTAATTGCCATGGTGAGTGGCCGCGGTGTGTCACGTGTGGCGTGCGGATGTGGTGTAGAGATAATATGTACATATGCGCCGGGAAATAATTACGTTGATTTTGGTATTTTGCGGAGGGGTGCAATGCAGAGACACCGGCAAGATGTCGAGCCGGCGCTAATTGAGCTACCTTTGGGGAAAGGTTGGGGAAAAGCAGAAAACATGGGAAGATGGGATGGGTGATCGATGGCGGCGTAGCAGTGTTGTGCGCCGAAGACGGAATGCTGCGGTCTCATATGCTTGTGATTAATGTTGCACTGCTGGCTAAAGGACTAAATTTTGTAACCGTTTTCAACATCCAGATATTTTTTTTAGTTAAGTTTTCTTGTGCGATTAAGTAATGTGTGCACGATTGGCTGAAAAGAAGCAACCATTACAAAAGATTTCTTTGTGAGTTATGCGACATGCCTCGATTTTGATATTAAAACCAATACAGATATGAAAACGTAGTTTTCAGGCACATGGAGTCCGTACAGCCAATCTCATAATATCATTGACTATGAAGCTATGTGTTCTACAAATTTAAGTAATTACCTACATTCGAGTTTCATCAATATTTTTAGCACTTCCCGTAGTAAGAAGACTGTTCATTGGATTTTTTCCATTGATAATGCGAAATATTCAGTCCATCTTAAATTACAAATTCTTCAATAATGCTTATACCGGTGTCACCATATTGCTTTTGCATATCCAAACTTGTTTCTGAGTCAGCCGAATTTGGGAAAATATTTTTTCACTGAATGCCACATGTTGGAGGTTATCACAATGTAGTGCCGCGTTTTATTTGGGTCTTGCCATATATATAACTCGGTAATAAGTCTCCTACAGCAAGATTACAAATATCCTTTCGCACATATGTTATCCTGATGTAGGGCGTATAAGAGAAACTGGCAGTCTCATTTCCGGTGGTGTTGTGCTGCGTTTTAGGTGATTATCTTCGGCTGCTGTTGGTTGCCATTAAATCTGGTCAACATCCTCAACGACTACTTCCCCTCGACCATCACCGGCTGGCGCTACTTTGTCCTGGTGTTCTTTCTGGGCCACGTGATCGCCACCAGCAGTACCTGCTACAACCCCATACTCTACGCGTGGATGAATGAGAACTTTCGCAAGGAATTCAAAGCCGTCCTGCCGTGCTTCACCACACCGCCTCGCGACAACCGCTACCGGCAAACATCCTTAGGGCATGACGCCAGCCTCAAGGCCTCCCATGTCCGCAACGGCACCTCCGTCCTCCTGGACACCGAATCCACCTACATGCTGGAGAGCTCACCGCGGCTGGTGAAAAAGGTCATGCAAGGTGTGCCAATCAAAATATGTCAAATATTATCATATTCCCGCTAAGCGGCGATAATAGGCGGATATAGGGTACGCGGAGCATCCACGGGCTACGTGACTGTGATATTGTCCCGTCAATTGTTCGCTCGTGCGTAAGTGTCAGGGGGGCTTCCGGTTGGGTGGAATATCTGACGCCACTCGAACCGGTTGTGGGCTGCCAGTGCGCTGATTAGGCCAGGATTTCTAACGCTCCAATAACGGTCAATACCGGTAGCAGCGATGGGGGACAGCACAGTCAACGCTTTTAATTAATTACTCTGGATTAGGGAATCTGTGAATGGCTGCGTATTACGCATGTGGACAATCCAATCAAGGGATAAACTTTACATCACTGCTTGCTAAAACGTATTGTGCGCAACAACTAGCGCAATTGCGTTTACATTTAGTTAATACGATATAATTATTTGGCCAGAATTTTTATTCATACTTCAAGTATGCTGATAGCTTGAGTGTGACCTTGAAATTTTGAAGTCAGTAGATTATACAGTTTATACTGTAGACAAAATCTGAACTTAGTATAACTTCTAAATGGTCTATTATTAATAATTTAGCGAATTTGCCATTCTGAATTTGTAATATTATTTTGATAAGTTTGTTGATTTGCCAAACTGTGCGAAAATACTGATTTACATTTTCTGAATTTCTCTTATGTATAAATAAAATTTATAAATGTATAACTAAAAATTATAAATATTGGCGAAAGATTTATTACAAATATTAGCAAAAGTTTGTTCAACCTTATAGAATTTTAGCTTTTCTAAAAATGTTTTCTAATTTTTTGTTGTTTTTTTCAGTGCATTTGTCGGTGCACAGTAATGGGTCAGCCGGCAAGCACATCGTCACCCACGACACCGTCAGCCGGAGCCCGGAAGAAGGCCGCCGAAGTCCGCATCTAACCGTGCCGATAGCGGCTGGCTACGCTACACTGCAAGTGCAGGATTCCCTTGATGAGCGCGATGGGGAAATCTACCACGTGTGATACCGCGCGGGGTGAGTACCGAGAAGGCGGCCAGCTAGGAGTGGAGAAGATTACTGTTTATCACTACTCTCCTGCTAATCGGCTGTCCAATCTGCTTTACGCGGAAATACCAACCATCATGCACAGTAAACCGCAACGCTCTTCCCAGAGCATTGCGTCACCAGGCAAACATATATACGCATTAAGTTTCTAAGAATAGAGAGTGCACTCACTTTGAGGAGAAGAAGGTAGAAAACACTTCAAAGAATACGACATCCACTTATAAAAATAATCATTACTGGAATACTGATGAAATATGAAGCTTAGCAGAACGATAATTATACAAATTTAATTTGCATTTTCGATTCTTTTTGCGTTCAAAAGTTTTAATATTCATAAAAAGATGTTTTTATCTAAAAAATATTATTATCAAAAAGCCACAAAAAATTAAATACTTGAATAAAAATCTATTGGAATATGCGGTGCATTAAAAGTCGAAATAAGCTGGAGGTACAGAGTTGAATTTTATTCGTACCAATGCAAACTAATATTCGAATAAATTCTGTTTAAAAAAACTTTATCAATGGCTCTGCCGTTACTGGGGTATCTGCACAGTGTACACACGTGGCAACACGGAACCGACAAGGCGGCAGAAACACTTTTAATGCCCAACTGCATTATTAGTCGAACAAAAATCTGATGTGATTACCGGGTACACGAAGGGACAAAAACACTGTCTTGAGAGCGTGGGAAGACGTACAGCCGCGAATATATGTAGGGTATGTGGTGCGGTTGCGGGATAGGAAGAGCGGGAGACGGAGAGAAAGAGCTAGAGAGAGTGATTGGATTAAAGGCCGAATAAGTCGACAATCTGGATAGGCGCCTCTTGAGCACCCATACCCTTTTGTCCGGGCACAGCGCCTTTTATCCCCATTTTCCAACTTAACATGATCGGCATCCTGTCGACAAAAGCAAATGCCCGACAAATTGGCAGTTGAAGCCCGGGACTATTTCGTCACGCGGCGGCGGGCCATATTGACATAATTATATTCTTACGAATCCCGTGTAATTGAATTTCCACTGGTTACTATGCATACATACTCGGTCACACACCTTGCATGCGCAACGTCACAAACGTTGCAATCTGGTATCGGTTTCGGATATTTATTCATTCATTGCCGGCACTTATCGGATCGTTACACGCGCCCCGATCCCTTCAGAATTAGATTAGCCGTCGAAAAAGAATTAATACGACCTGATCGATCAACAGTGTTGTGCAACAAAGGGAAAAATGGCCGATATACACCAAGTGTGACCTCTTACAGATACCACGACAAACATGCAATATTTAGTAACGCACGTATATAATTCGATCCCGTTATGGGTATCCATATTTTACGATCGATACACAACTGCAGTAAATACTTCTCATATTTATAACTAATAAATATTTGAAAAAGGTGACAAAAATTGATTGAAAAATAGAAACGTTTTGAACAAATTTCGTGATATACACACGAAAAATGTTATTTAAAACGATAAGTTTGTTTAATAAAATTGTATAAATGCTATGTGGGTAACATTTTAGGAAAAGACAGTTTTCTAAAAAAATTAACAGAATCTGGATTATATGTCTTTGCAACGACCAGGTGTAAGCATTTCAAAGCACAAAAAATAATCGTTCAATGGTTAAAAATACTTTGATCAACGCAGATCAAAACAATTTACCGCATCCGCAAAGACCGCACGTGCCGGCCGGAAGCCGGGGCTGCAACGCGAATCACACCGCCATCGAACACCATCCGCTTGCCGGGTCTAATTCGGTCTTCCCCTTACCCAGCCATCTCCTATTCCCTGACCTTATCGCCTATATATAATATGAGCAGAGCGAGACGCGAAGAGCGGTTATGCCCCGCGGTCTTCTCTTGCTTTCCTTCTCTTCCCGCAAATATCCAAGACACAGGCTGGCCAAATTAGATAAATACAGCCTAGTGGCGCTATTTTTCTCCCCGCAACCGCGTTTCTCTCGTTTCACGTCTCCCGATGGAAGAAAGGAACACGATTACAGGAATTCCGGTAGTGTATACACTGCCGTACACACATACACTGCGCACTTTACCGGATAATCTCACTACAATCTTTATTTCATCGAGTAGTCGTACAGTATAACAAAGTGTGTTACTTTGTAGGACTATTGATTTGCCGGTCTTTTTACAATGTACTTCGTGTGTTGCAGGTGCTACGAAGCGGTCGATTATTATTTTTGGGGAGGTTTATTGAAGGCGGATACGTGTATACACATGTGATATATCACGTAGCTGGCCATGTTCGCGAGTGATACGTGGTCCACTGCTAATCCAATTCATCACCTGCCCTCAGTGCTCGATTATAGAGCTTTCGCAGTTACCGGATGGTTTGCGCTGCGCGTGCGTGTGTGGAAGGGAGAAAGGTCAACGGAAGAGTGCTCGCTAATTGCGGATTATGATGTTCATGATCTGAGTGCGCCTTATCTCATTATTGCTCTCCTGTGTTCTTAGGAAACATTTATTGATTCTGGAATGTTTTTTTTGTACTGGGGAGTTTATATGTATCTCACATGCCGGCATATAATAAATCTTGTCTATACTTACCAAAACGCCAGCAATTTTAAGCGAGAACTCTATATATACATGCTCATTTAAATAGCGATACTAATCCATTTTATATGACATACGCTGGCACACGAAGTGAAGGGTTACAATGAACAGTCAACAATTTCATAATTACTCTAAAGGGTTTTAATCACATTTACATCCGTTTTAAATAGAAATTCATTCCCAGCAGAATTCCGCAAAATTCAGTACTGGAAGCAGAAAATAAATAAAACGCATGACTTCCAAACTCTTCCTGAACGCGTTAACTTTTGAACTCGTACACATCGCTGTTGTGTTCCAACTTAAAGTACTTACATAGCAAATAGTCATACAGATACTTGTATACTTCATGTCGCCAACCCTGGAACGAAAACTAGACGGCCGGGAAACGTCGTGCGAACAGCAGTCCTGTTAAGGGATCCCTAACCAGGGCCCGACTGTTGATACTTTACGGCTTCCGCATTCTGTAGCTGTTGGACCTCGCTCCGGCGCTTCTCGAACACCCGGCGCAGTTCCTCCAGTCGCGCAGTGTCCGTGCCATTAGCGCTGATTTGGGAGTCTAAATAGTTTTCAACAGTTGCTTCGTTCGCGAACTGCACCCTTAATGCACGCCTATCCGCGGCCTCCCGCATGCTGGCTTGTTGGAGCCGGACGTCGTCGCGGATCCACTGTATGTCTGCCAGGGGCATGCGGTACACGGGAACAGCGCCGGTTAAATACTGACGCAGCAGAGACTCTGAATTAGGCACATTCCGATTCGGTTGGCCATCGGCTGTACCGTTGGTTAATTAGGAAAGTTAAAGGGTCACCGGGCACCCTGCCGAGGGAAGCACTCCAGACTAGCAGCGCTGCGGCCAAGAAACTGATTCGCGACCGACTCAAACCCTCCATGTTCACAAGAAACTCGCTTAACAGAAACTACTTCAATATTACGAGATTTCTGAGTTAATTAATTATCAACAAACTACAGACTGAAAAGTTCGTGCGGAATGGTTATCGCTGGACAGATCAAACAAAGATTGAACATGGTACTTATATTGCCGAGCGATTTATGTCAACCGTCTATGCGACAATTACACTGTACAAGAGGAGGAGGATACGTGTCCGGGAAAATGGTTCCAGATAGAGCGAATCCGGGTTTGCGGTGGTGTTGAACTTACTCCAGCCGAAGGAGATGTAAATTTTCTAAAGTTTCTAAGTTTATTTCAAGGGTATAATCCGTAGAAATAACGATATTAAGTAATGTATGCGTATAATATCGTAGAATTAAATAGCATTCGTCATCACAAAATCTTTACTTAATATTTTAGCCAAAGCATGATTTATGATCCCAGATGCAGTAAAAACAGCGACAATATTAACCGTAGGCCGTCTTTAGTAAAAATAGCCACAAGAAACATAATATGCCAGATTAATTTATGGAAAAATATTAAATATATTTAATAATAACAAAACTGTTAATGGTGATGATAAAAACGACACAAATTTCCGTCTGGTATATTCATCGTCGCACTGAACTCTTGCGGCGTATATTGAACTTGGGCATTGCCGCGACATCCGGATAATCATCGGTGTCCGATGTCAGTGTGCGGTACATCATTCCCGACGACCGACGCCGACTGGGATCCTGTGATCCGAACGTGGTATGGTGACTGAGAAGGCCCTAATCATCACAGACCACATTATGAGTATGTTAAGCAATGCCTATCCCGTAAAATCATTGCAATATTATTATGCGTAATACAGTATATCGCAGTTGCGAATTCGCTGAAATAAAAGATGATCACGGCGCACACTGACCTGGTTTTCGGCGCGGTTCGGCACGTGCCGCAGGAGCATACAAACCGGACTGATAAGAAGGTTGACTATACCAATGGTGCGCATGAGAAAAGGGAAGCCGGCTGAATTGGCTACCAGTCCGCCGAGCAGAGGTCCTGGGCATATGAAGAGTATTTGAAGGCATACCGCATATATGTGCAATAACTAAATACACCACTAAACGGAGTAACCGCACATTAATTGGGATGATCTCGATCCTCTAAAATATGTTATCTAAATAACAACAGATTACCTTTACAGAAAAGTTAGCGTTCGTCCGCTTAGACACAGAACGAAACAATCACCAGTTAAAAAAGTAAGATCGAATTGGTATCACATTACATAAGAATTTGAATTCTGTATCGTTATTTAAATCCTGAAAAGTATGAACAATTACTTAACAAATTAGGAAACTTTGACAGTTTAAAACAATTCCGTCGAGCATTTATGCCGCTTACCTACGTCATGCGTTAAATTTTGTCAGTGCAGTACATGTACTGTACTGCATTGACAAAATTTAACGCATGACGTAGACATACTGTACAGTACTCTGTATATTCTAGAATTTTTATCGAAGTAATGTAAAACTGTGCACAATGGACACTGGGCGATTACAGACGTAGAGTAACGATATGCCAATAGAAAGTATACAATAAACACATAAAACATAGAAGAATTAAGCCGAAAAATTGTAAAAAGTATTACCTAAAGAATATGCCAGACACACGGCAATCTGGGCGACGGCGAATACGCTTCCGTACACTGCTTCGTGCCGCAAATCCACGAGAAGCGCCAATAGAGGCATAAAGGAGGCATCTACGACACCTGGAGCACATAACCATATTTGTACGCACTGATCTGGATAAATGCAGCCTGTCCGGCAGTACTTCGCTTTTTCTCATATTCCGGTCACTTTAACTGTACAGTTTCATATTCCGGTCAACAGGTAGGAAAATATCCTAACAAAACAAAATTCACAGAAATGGTTAGTTTTCATAGAAACGACCTCTCTCATTAAATTTAAAGCGTAAAAATCAATAAATATACTCACAAAACAAAACAAATAACAGAAACTCTAAACCGGGTGAGGCGCAAAAAATCGGTTTTTTACGTCTAAAAATTTCAGAAAATGAATTAAAAGGATCCCTGACAACTGTGAGGGCTGGGTTGGGTGGACTTGCTAAGCACACTGCACATTAACGGGTGGCTAATGGCAGTGCGATCTGCAGCTATTCATGTGGTGCGCCACATGTGCGGTCGTACCGGTAACCGGTGACCGAAATTTGAAACCATTCACTCAATTAAAGTGACCGGAATATGAGAAACAGCGAAGTACACATAATTGCAGTTTACATGTAATCAGTACACTGAAGTAACGTAACTTCAAATAAGAGGCATAGACGAGCTGTCTGCGATATTTCCCGGTACTGATGGTATAAGATCGAAAATTGTCTTATAATTTAATGAAATTCAGCGCTTTGCGCGTTAACAGATTTACAAAATGTAAAACTAATTTTCGTACCAATGCCAATCCCAATTCCAAAGTGAGGTATGATGAGATGCCAGATAGCCGTTGCGAACGGAAGCTAAAAAACTCAAGCACTCGTTATTGGTACTTTACTGTGGACCGAGACCAAGTGATAGCATTCGTTTATGAGTTCATGCGAACATGCATTAACACATTTAAAATGTTAGGATACGATATCGGTATGGATACTACTATAAAAGCTGCGTATAATGTACTATAGCGTATTAAATCAACCTTACGCAGATGGCCGAAATGCCGACTGTAACCATTCCCACCATAGCGCATTTCCACCGTCCCACCCGCAGCGCAAACACCCCAAAGAAGCTAGAGCCGAGAAAATAGCCAATACTATCCGGTACAAAGGCTGTCCCCAGTTGCCAAGGCTGGGGACTCATTGTCTCCATCAGCCACAACGGCAGACACGGTTCCAGCGTGGCCATGGCACACGTCGACGCGCAGATCACCAGGATGACCGCCAGGATATAGGGGTCCCGCAGGAGGGTCTTGGTGGAGGTGGTCAGGGCCACCGAGGAGTGCTCGAGCCGGGGCGGCAGCGCAATAGTCTGGGCCGCTGTAAAGGTCATAATGGATGCAGATGCAAGTTTTTATGTTGTACGTCGTGTCAGTCATTTCTTAATTGAACCCCATATAGTATTATACCTCCGAGTACCGCCAAAAGAAACGCTATAAGGAGAAACGGCACCGCCTTTCCGGCGAAATCGTAAACAACGCTGCCGAATGGATATCCCACTGAAAAATGACGCATGTATCACAGAGAGATGCAGGCGATCACTTAGGCGATATAAACAGGACGACATGTGGAATCCTGATGTATTATGCACCATTCATAAATTAATATTTTGTTATCGTAGTTGAAAGTTATTTGAGTAGGCAGAATTAAATGTAGCCAGTTGAGCAATTATCCGAGCTATGCATTACAAAATAGATCAATTCCAGATTTTCAGTCTGCAATCAGCGCACTTCCGAACATGGTCAAGTTCACGCCGTACATGGTAGTGCAGTGACCATTCTCTGGCAAAGGTCCTTCGCCAGCTCTGACGCCCATTGTAAATTACAGAATCATTAACATTAGATCTCTACAAACTGGTGGATAAATTCGCTACGACTTAGAATTAACAAGAAAAACACAATATTTTTATCGCAGAAATTTTGCTCCGCTGCCACGTATATTTTATTTCGAAATCCGTAAAAGGAAAAAACTATTTTTATAAACTTGTACAGTACGCGCAAACTAAACGATATCAGTAATCACGACAACCAGCCTTCGACAGCTCCGAGGAGAGAAAGTCCACTTCAGGTTTTAATTATTGCGAAGCAGTCTTTTAATTTCAACTTTTTTTCTTTCTAATTATTGGTTTTATTTTAAATTATGGAAATTTTCTGGTAGAGGCCAAACACGTACGTACATTTTGGCAACTAAAACTTATAAATGTTGAGCTCAAGTTGCTTAACGCTGGAAAGCACCTGAAAGTCATAGAATAGCGCTTAGTCTAGCTTAGTCTGTACTGACTGAAAAGCCCTACAGGCAAAATTAATAAAAGGAATGGAAACATTACTTTTATATACATAATTATGCATTAGAGTGCTTTAAAACTTCTAAAGACATATTGTACCAGTATTATAAAAATAATCAGCAACTTTTAAATGCCCGACGCGGATAAAAGAAAAAACGCAATGTTCAGCGACATACCGAGCACACCGGCTGCAATCCCGCTGAGCGCTACGCCCATCTGTTTACTGCGGTCCTCCTCATCCGGATACCTACTGGATATCAGTCCCATTCCTGGCAATTAAAGAAATTCATAACATTCACTGTACCGATGTACTGACAATGTGTTACACGATAAAGTACGAATATGGTTTTTATACGGAACGGTAATATTATTCTGTCTACCGGAAATGACCGCCGCTGACGAGCCGACGCCCTGCAGGGAGCGGGCAAAGAATAATGTCCCATACGTAGAGCCAACGGCAAAAACTGTCCAGATAAAGCCCAATTAAAAAGCATGGGACCCGACGTAAACGGTGCAACAACTGAATATTTCTATACAAGTACAATAAATTCTTACGTAGTGCGGCAAAAAATATCACGCATAGACCGAAAAATAATGGCATCGTGTAGCCGTACCTGTAAAAACCAAATGTCTCTATTCCAATTAGTACACAATTCAACACGGGTTACATTACTGAGATGCCGGTGCAAATTGCTGCTTACGCAAACAAGTTTTTGCTAAATATGAAGTTAAAAATACGTCTGCAAATTTCTTTGCTCTGGTTGCGACTAGCATATCCATCCTGCTGAATTTACGAAAGGGAAGTATTACCTAATGAATTACACAGTTTTATAATTATATAATATTATTTAAGAATGTTGTAAGTTTTAAACACATTAATGCTGTGTACTTCTGTACTCGTACAATCGATAACAAGATTTTAATGTAAAATTTTATTAAAACACAATTTTACAGATTTATTTTTGACGTACAGCATTAAGTAACAACTGGCAAACAGCAATTCTCCGTACGTTCAATCAGTCGCCGTAAAGTTAATCGCTTAATAAGACAATAAACTACTATGCCTAAATTAAATTTTCGTTCTAAGCGAGGCAAATGCCAAAGTTGCTAGTGTACCTGGCCGATACAATACCGACAAAGGGATTAATTAGCAGCTGTACAAAGGCTTTACTGGAGAATAAAAAGCCAATTTTGGCGTTCTCATTCATCAGATCAAGGATAATCGCTTTTTTATCCACAGCGGCGGGGATTGCCGGTCGCTCGTCATCGGCGCGATTAGGCACAGTGCAGGATAAGGAGCGATTTTCCGGCTGACATTTCGCCGACTGCACGCCGGTCGACGCCGGGATGACGTTGTCGGGGTGGTCAATCTGGTAGACCAGATTGGGTATTATGGGCACTGTAACCACAACAATAACAGCAGGCTTAGTAGCACATATTTTTTCATAGCACTTTTGTAGAACTTTATGCATTATTGTTAACCTGCTGTCCCGCAACATCCATCTGAATATTAAATTAATAATATACTGATACGAGATTTTGGTAATGTTTTACTGTAATCTGAGGGCAGTGTGAGGCGCTTGCCTTTTTATTACCGGCTGTTTATTACCGGCTTAAAAACCATAAATTTACATAGTAATATTAGCAAAAAAATCATAACTATAGTTTTTCAAAAACAAATTTTTGTTAAAACTTGCAGCATGTTTCTTTCAGTCTATTGATATTTTTTTCGATCAAGAAAAATATCTTATGCCTTTTTTGCTTTTGCATTTTCTAGAAGGTATGCACCAGATAAGGTGGACTTTACTAAAGCCCATGCACTACGAAGTTTTTTTCTAATGACAAGGCACTTTCCAGTACCTATTGCATTTACTTTGTATTTAGTCGAGTTGCTGCCAGCAGTAGCAAAATATAAAATTATGCATAAATAATAATTATTTTTCATTCAAACAGTAGTTCCTTTACAAATAAAATAAATAACAATAACTGCAACAAGTATGAGCGGAAATAACTGACTTGATATGTTGCAGCAGTGCTGCTGTACGTAGGAAAATCAGGTCAGCGAAGAAAAAAATAAAAATCACCTTACCGACAACGGTCAGCAGTAAATTATCCAACATCAACACGGCAAAGACGATCACCGATGTCGTCCGGTGGCTGTGCCGCAGAAGCGCGCTGGACTTATCCAGAACCGATTTGACCAGCGGCACCATTGTCATCCGTTCTCGTAAAGGTCACTTGCACCAACCCGCGCGTGTATACACAAATGGACGGTAAAGACGGAATTTTTTTTCAAGGCAACAAACGATAAATTTCCAATTCCCTGGTGCCGCCGACAATGATCAGAGCGGACACGGTCATGGATGTACGTAATGCGATGCGTTGTGCCAAGTGTTCAATGGGTTGTGCCTATCAGAGGAACCGGCTGTATGAGCGGGCGCCCGCCACAGTCCCGAATAGATAGAACTGTTAAGAGATTTCTTTCCGCATCACGCTTGATTATCGTCGCTTTCACATTCAATAAGGATGGGAGCAAATCACTGGAGGGCAGCCCGGCGTTTGTTAGAATGGTACGCGTGCTACACACACAACGCCGGCCGGGGAAATGCGGTTACGGTGAGCTCGATGAGCACCGGCTGCGTTGGGCACGGGATGTGTATATGATATACTCGTACATATACATAGTCGGGGCAAAAATATATATGCCGGTGTAACCATCCAGAAACCAGCCGATTGAGATTGTTGACGATCGCGGCGCGTCAAGCATAATGTGCCGGAAGAACGACCGGCACGCTGGCTGTCGCTGGGAACAATGTACGGGTGCACGGTTTCCTCATTGCCATACGTACCATGAATCGTCGAGAACATATTTTACAGGTAAAGGACAAGTTACAAAATGGTAAAAAATATTTTGCATTGTAAAAAATATTTTACAAATACTTACAGAATTAATTGCAACTCCAGATAAAACTCACTATGGCTGTCTGAAATTTCATTTGCAAAGTACTGTATTAATCTTAGTATTAACAAGTACTGTATTAATATGTCTCGCGTCAATCAAGTTAACCTGCTCTCCTCTTTCTTGTACTATTTTTTATTTATGGGATCTTTTATCGATGCGTTCATATCCATATTGAACAATATTGTTCAATACGCAAATTTATGGATTTTTTACTATCCTAGCTAAAATAATTGCAAAAACTAATTTGTATGCGAGGAAAAATAACTTATGCATAAAAGTATGTGTTGATATTTAATCTTCTGTTTTTACCGCTGTTTGCAGGTCATCTGTGGGTGCACCTACGGTCTCATCCTGCCCACGTACTACAATTACTCTTCCACAAGCTCTTCCACAAGCTTGTCGTGGTAACAAACGTTTAAGAAATGGTCTCATAAAACAGTTAATTCAAAAGCAGAGTACGAAATCTCAGTGAATAATGAAGCATTTCACGGAAAAAACATGAAATTATGGTAGGCGAACCACATTGCTTTACTTGTAGAGGACTTGATGGCACTTAGGCCTTCCATTTAATGCGCACCGCTGATGCATTATTTGCAAGTACCTTACTCTGTAATCGGTGATTACTGTCAAATTTCTATTGTTGAACGAAACATTCCAAGGAACATTGTACGGCAATTGGACAATCGACACTTGATAAAAATATAAGCAAAGAAACACATCTCGCTAATTGAAGAAATTTCCGCATGAATGCCGTGAATATGATGTACATTGTGATAGTATGTCATTTCACCCAGTGGACATTATGGCGATCATCGCCGATATTGCCGGCGTATATACAACTACCGGGTAATAAAGGGGCAGCCGGCGGAATATGGCGCAAGGAGCCATAAACACCGATACATTGAAGGTTAAATGCCGATAAAGGGCAGAACAGCGGAACGGTGAGGTTAAGCTCTCAAAGCGGGGACTACGATGAGCATATTACGGTGTGTTGTAGCGGAGAGACGGTTGGTGGTCCGCGACCGGTCAGTCGTGCCGGCTGACAATACCGGCCTGCGCACAGTGTGTCAACACCGTTAATACCGGATACCCCTTCCCTTAATGACCTTTTAATGGACATATGATCAGCGGCGCACGGTAGCGTCGCCGGAGCACGTACACGGATGATTGTGGGCCAGTATAAGAAGGTCTGCCGGTTGGTGGTGTTTCTTCACCATCTCTCTGCTTTCCAATCATCAGCATATTAGCGACAAGAAAAAAAGTATCAGTTTTTTCTGTGTCGCCGGAATATTCTTCGGGATTGTACCGATTCATTTATCCATCCATATCCAGTTGGAAAATGATCCTCAGGATTAAAGTATTCCTTGGCGCCTGCATTGCGGCTGCTCTCAGTTCCCGTGAGTCCACTGTGTTAATTATAAGAACGAACGAAGCGAACGTGCATTTTTAATTAATTTTTATAAATTGTCCACCGAATTCTGCGCAGAGTTTCCGTTGGTGTTCGGCACGGATGCAGCGAGCAGTAGCAGCACGTACACTTCCGGTTCATCTCCCACGTCCTCGTATGCAGCGGCACCGGCATCCTCGTCGTCGCCGTACGCCGCCGGCGCATCCGGCTCGTCGTACGACAGCGGAAGCAGTGTGCCGGCCCGTTCCGGTTACGGCACCGGTGGTGGCAGTTACGGAACGGGTGGTAGTTACGGTAGTGGTGGTGGCGGTTACGGAGGCGGCGGCGTGGATGGAGGATTCGGTGGAGATATGACTCCGTTTGGGTATTCCAGCGGATACGGCTACGGTTACCGGCGATATATCCCCGTACCCTGGTGGATCTGGTATCCCACCACCATTATGCTCAACAAAGGTGGCGGTACCGGCCTCGGTATGCGTTCTTTTTTATGAAATTAGCTTTTATCAAACAATTTCTAATCAATTTTGGTGTTCGTGTCAAATAAATGGACATATAATCCCTAACAAGCGATAGTGCTCGCTAAATAGAAAGTATATTAAAATTAATAATGCATTTAATATTTGAAATTATAATTAAAATAGATATTAAACTTTCAAGTGAAATTTGTTACCAGTACCCTAACGCAGAATTATCCAGTTGAACTGCTCCTTTTTATAGGATCGCTTCTGGCGGCTAGTGCAATGGGCGGCGGTGGATTCGGCGGTGGGTTAGGTGGTCGACCAATGGGCTATGGTGGTATGGGTGGCGGCCTGGGCGGTTTCGGTGGAATGGGTGGTTTTGGTGGAATGGGCGGTTTCGGTGGCATGGGCGGCATGGGTGGTTACGGCGGTGGTATGGGAGGTTACGGTGGTAACATGGGCGGCTATGGCGGTAACTACGGCGGTGGATCGGGTTACGGTAGCGGTAGTGGTTACGCTGGCAACAGCGGTTACGGACGGAAATAAACCCATGTGACCTTTTTTACTCTGTCATTTGTCTGTGAACCAATTGTTTTCTCACCATAATTATTGTTGTCAAGTGAGTGTCAGCCACCCATTGTATAACTTGTTGTTTTCGTATTTATTATTATGATCGTTTATTTGCTGTATTAATTAATTTTCAATTAACTGACCGCGTTTTTTAATCTGTAATAAATCTGTCGCCTGTTACTGAATAAATTAAAGAACTGTGTTTTGCTGACAGTATATCGGAAAATGTACATATCTGTACTCTCTTACAAGGAACTGCATATCACTGACCTAGCTTTTTAATGACCGTACGTTTTTATTTACAAATTCACGGCAGACACAATAATAAATGCTCGTAAACTGTATTGAATAACATTTCTGAGTAAACCTAATTAGCGCGTACGCTACAGAAACACTGAACAAGAAAGATTCACCTAGATATCTTCGTGGGACGTAAAACAACAAAATTATAGCAGTTGTACGTTTAGGTAGCTGAGTACCTCTGACCATAGACAGGGCCTTTCTGGCGGCATGTTTCCGCTATATTATACGGACAAAGCACGGCCCGCTCAAATTTCGTACAGCTGCAATAAATGCGGTGTTTGTCTTTTAACTTTTTTGTAATGATGTTCTTTTCATATCTTGCATGAACAGTTGACCATATTGAAGTAGCTACTAACTACATCGTTTCTTTCACACAAAAAGCAGGTAATCATAATGTATCTCCCGAACAATTAAGTCGCACTCAGTAACTTATAAATAGATCAAAGACCGAACAGTCTCCTAATTATTCGCGGATCGCTAGGCGTTCGAAGTGTTTGTTAATTTTGTACAACCAAAATCTGGCAGTTACACGGTGTAGCTAACCGATAAGCAGTTTTTAGCAGCTAACCTGGCAGCTTCGTTAAAAATGTCACTTCTTACGCGGTGTTTCCTTTTATCCTTCTTCCTGATGGCCGTTTTTCTGGCTGACCAATTGGTCCAAGCGCAAAGTATCAGCGCTCTCATCTGCAGTAAGTTATAATTCGTGTGTTTGTTGCACAATTAGAGTGATGCGCTTTCTGCAGTAGTTATGACTCTCCGCACGATTAGCTTTTCCTTACATACAGAAACTCCTCTGTTCTCGTATATGCGTAGAGTTTTTGGTAATTTCACTAATCGATGTTCAGTAAACGTATTTCACAGCGTTGTGCATTTAAAGGTTTCTCTCATTTATAACATTAAGAGATCGCACTTGTAATTTATGGCACATGGTGCATGGAGCAATGAGTTAAAGCAAAGCCTATAGAATATAGTACGTATATTCTACTGGCTTTGGTTAAAGACAGAGCCAAAGCCATTCATTATATTTGTATTATTAATGGAACTGTTCCTTTTCAGTGACGGTGTTTACTTTATAAATCACTACGATTGACTACTATTACAGTTTTCTGCTCGTATTACACATGCCCGAGCGGCAAGGCGGCTACCTGTTACTCTGAAGGGTGCTTGTGCGATGGCCATGGAATTTAAAGTGAAGAATATGGATATTCAAGACACTGCACAATGTACAGGGAATACACGGCAAACGAGAGGAATTTCCCAGATTTGCTTTGCGATTACTTAATATTCCGCCATTTTGTTATTATTAGTGTGGTAATATTCTTTAATTTCTAGCATTTTTGGCAACAGTTATTAACAGTCATCTATGAAAATACTCGGGACATGATCTAAAATTAATTAAAGTGTGCAATGTAAATGTCTGGAAAAGTACAAAACTGCAGTATATACCCATCCCATGATCATAATATTATTAACCTCAGAAAAACTCGTACTTGCGTCTTGTATTAAGCTTGCAGCTGTACTTCTTTGTAAAATTTTAAAGTTTAATATCCACCTCTATAATCGATATACAAATACCATGTAAATAGACTGCATATCGTACAGTGTCAAAGAAATCTAAACAGAACATGGCATATTTGTTTACACCAATTTATGCAGCTGCGATAGCGATTAGCGATAGATAAAGGCCTGGATGACACTTGTACGCCGGACGAACAATGGATTTTGCTGATCTCTGACCAATAATATTATTATGATTGTGCTGCGGTTTGTACCGAATCCAAAACCTAAAACTGGACCTTAACATCTCGTACCCCGTTTCTCGGTGAATGATTATGTTTTACACAAATAGTTTATAGATACCTACCGGAGATTATTTTATCAATCGTGAAAACAGCAACAGATGCGGCTGGTGCTCGATCTAGTGCACCAATATAAATATCTTCTATCACAAACCGATATGCTTAATTGCCACTATAAAGCAACTCTTGCTCAGCTGCACTAACAATTTATTGATATTCAAGTTGATATTATTATTTATATATTATATTATTGTTACTCTAATTTTGTTTTACTAAGATCGTGTAGTATAATTATTTTCAAGATTTTCAATATGAAGACAACACTTTATTTTATTCTTTTATGCCTTATTGCTCTGGCATTGGTAATCAACCTGACCAATGGACAATTCGATCCGTGCAGTAAGTAAACCGCTACATATTGTTCATCACATAATCACATATTAACTGAGGATTCTCTTGTTACGCGTAAAATTAACACGATCTGTTTATTGCTAAGAATCTTGTTGTTCTCTACAATTAGTCATATGTGACGGAGTCATTTGTCCGGATGGAAAGCCCTCTCGCTGCGTGTACGAAGCCTGCACATGCAGTCGCACTTAAGCTTATAATATGGCACAAAAGACAAACTGACCGGAAGCAGTTTCTTGTACATACTACAGATATTCGACGCTTGCTTGCAGTTATGAGATGTTCATTGGCATATATAAATGTCTCATTGAGAACGGTTTTCATTAATGACACTGTTAATAAACGCATCCCCATACCTGTATGAATGATTGATGTGTGCAAACTACCGAGACCATTTTGGTTTTTATTACTATTTGTGTGCTGATATCTTGCGTCCTTAATAATTGTAATAAGCGTGATTGTAAATCATCGTTGTATACGCCAAGCTGGTCGCGAGAAGCGGTACACTGATTGTTCAACAGTTTAATTGTCGTCAATAAAATCACATGCTTTGCGGACATTGAGTTGCGGTGTCCAGTGCAAAGGAATACTAATAAAAACCAAGATAGTTCACATCTTCACATAGCGCAAATACATAAACGATGGTAAACAGTATTCGCTAGCGAGATAACAAAACATTCTTTTGCGATTGCCCTGCGCGCTTCGTGGCCAGCCACTGACGAGTAGCAATCTTGGTGGTGGTGTTGTTGTTGATGTTGAATGGTGCACGAGTCGGAAGTGTAGGCCTAAAATGTTAAACAGCATTCATTAATTCGGTAATCAGTTTTAATGATGTCTTTCACCTTAACGATTTTGCGAGGGTGATTAGCTGTCGTCAGCTTGCTGTCATCGAAGTGCAAAATGCAGCATATATATGTTTTACAGCAGCAGCAATTTTTATCCTTTTTAATTAATTTCAGTAAATGGTACCATTATTATTATTTTATATACTTTTTTGCTAGTTTTAATTAATTTTTTCTTTGATCGCTTTTTAAAATTCGGGAAAATTTGCAACCCAATATAAAAACGCGAATTAAAAGTGATATCTATAGTTTATTAAAGTCGCGATCGAATCTTGGCCTCACCTTTACTGGTAGCCACCGCCGCCGCCGTAACCGCCACCACCGTTGCCATAACCGCCACCGCCATAACCGCCGCCTCCGTAACCGCCACCTCCATATCCGCCACCACCGTATCCACCGCCAAATCCACCGCCATTGATACCGAATCCGAATCCCTTGTTGTATCCAAAGCTGGATGGATACCAGATCCACCAGGGCACGGGGATGTACCTTCTGTAGCCGTAACCATAGCCGCTGGAGTAACCGAAGGGGAAGCTGAACAGATCACCGTATCCGCCTCCACTGCCACCGCCTCCATAACCCCCACCACCGCCGCCATAGCCGCCTCCGCCGTTTCCATATCCTCCGCCGCCACTGCTGTAACCGCTGTTACCGCCACTGTATCCACTGTTGGCCGTCGGGGTAGCGTAGTTGCTGTTGCTGCTACCGCTGGAGTAGGATGATGATGACGGAGCCCCGGTAGACTGGGCATAAACTGTAGCGAGGAAAAAAAATTTAAATTTAATCACGAAATAATCGATAAAACAGATTCAAATTTAAAAATTAATATTTTATAAATATTTTGAAGATATGGATTTTATTTTCATATATATTTGTTACGATGCTATATATCACCAATAAATTAAGTATTTACTTTAGTATTATAAAAAATTATTATTATTAAATATGTACATAAGGTTTTTCCACAAGTAATGTGAAAGGTTACATCCATGCCGCTTACCCATGGTAACCGTGAGGCCCAGCGCCAGGCCGATTAATAACGTCTTCATTTTGTCGGAGGGGGATGTGATAAAAGGGAAAATAACCGGCTATCGGTATCCGACTGCAGATAGAACAGAAGAAGAAGAAGATGCGATGGTATGGCTTAATAGAGCGTAAACATCTTTTATATATATCCGCCCCGTACTGTTGTAGCAGCCTATGATCACATTGTCATCGTAGCGCTAAAAAGGCCCCCGAAGCGTCATCTAGCATCTGGCTGTATAATGTACAGCCTGTCAAAAAAGTGGAACCATATGGCACAATATACAGCATATTGGCATGGAGCGTTCCGTGGCGTTTATTAATTGTCCCATCGCTTGTAATGGGTCAGTGTGTATAACAATATGTATATGTGTCTGAGTGTGTATCATGTATAATGCCCGCCGCATCTACACCGGGTGACCAAGTGTCATTTCCGCGTTCGTCCGTCTCATTTCTTTATTCAATCGTAACTCATCGTTTGGCCTTAATTGTGGCGTTATAGCGTGTGTGTGTGTCGGTTTAGGCAGCGTAAATCGGTTACCAACTTACCTATATATTTTTCGCACTTATTTATTGATGTGTTATACAATATGGCTATTATTCGGATCCTATATGGTTAATCTCTATCTTCAAGTGTAATCAGGAATTTTTTCGTGTATCTTTATGGCTGTTTATGAATAATGGATCGATTATTGTGCATGCAGCTAACTACGGCCGGCATCGTTTTGCAGTCGCACTGATTGCCCAACCGGCGGAATATAGTGTATCGTTCTTCGTGGCCATTGTGCGCCATTTGCTACTGATACAAAAGAAGGTCTCAGGTCTAGTGCTTTCGCTTTTCGAGAAATGTGTGACAAGAGTCGGTTAAGCGATAGTGATATGCCCAGTGGGAAGCGTCTGCGATCCGGATATATGACATGTTTAATAACTAGTTTATAAACGCTGCAGCTTTTAATCAGTTGTTGTCATTGTTTAACTAACTGTTTGATAGCATTTTCTTTATGTGGCTGGCGACTGCTACAAAAAAAAAATATAATTGCAGTTATTGATACATAAAAACTTATAATTAAAGATAATTAATATTTGTGCACAGTTGCATTTACTAAAAATAAATTTACTAATTTAATAATGGCTATATTTGCAAAATGGCTAAATTATATAATGGCTAAATTTACTTATTTAATAATGGCTATATTTGCTAATATTTTCTAATCATTATTAAGGGGCTCATATTTATGCTGTTTTCAGAAGTGGCTGGGATTTTGCAGTCGTTAACAACTGACCTTGTTTCCGGCCATCTTCCATTATTATTCCGTTTTTATAATAAAAGTTTTGTCATTACTTTGGAGCGTTTCATAGCCGAGGGTAGTGCATAATTAAGCAAGTAATAGAAGTCAATGTCATTGAGCAGGAAACCGTTTTAGCGCAGATTTTTCCGAACAAGAAGCTCTACGCTTTTGAAGTACATATTTTCCAAAGCGCTTCAGTATGAATTTCTTTACTAAAAATCGGTTGACGTACTGCAGCGGCAGAGCGGAATTTTTTTGTTCGGTCCGTCCAAATGCTCGAGTTAGGTATAATTTACCCTTGGTAAGTTAAGTAAATTTTTACTAGACTTACAAGTGTCCGTATTTAGGTACCATTACAACTTAATTATAGTATTTGTTTTAAAATATGTCACATAATAATGATACAGACAAATACAAATGTTCCCAAATGGCCAAATCCAAAGATTTACGGGGAGCGCTCTTACTCACCTTGATTCATAATAAGTCAGATGCAAAACACCTTTTGAAATACGTTCTAACGAATAAAATATTATTGATACCTCTCGAACGTAGTATATTCCACTACGCAGCATACATACTGTACAGATTTCGTTTTACTTTATTGTCTGTATGTAAAATAGCTCACCATACGCAGTTTAATATCTGAAAAGTTGACGTCATTTTCGTTGACCAGCGTCACAGAATTTCAAGACTATCATGCATAAATTCTGTATAATTATAGTATTTCCAACTTGCGAGCCGGCAGTGCAGCGGAAACAGTCCGTTGCGGTATCATGGAGGATTCGGCCTACCATTTTTTCCCATTTTATTGCTCAATATTCGCCGCTGATCCTGGTGCACAATTTTACATTAACGAATGTTAGGAGTTACTGTTCCCGCTTTTTTGCAAAGAATACAGGGCCGGGTTGCAGTGACGTACGGCACTGTTAATGGGTGTGTTCACATATTATTATTTTCTTATAAGCATAATGCAGATAACTGTATATACGTAGAATGTTGAACTCTATACCCGATCCCAAGGCATGATTTCGTAGGCTCGCCTAGCGAGCACAAACGGATACAGATTTCGAGCACTCAGCGGATCGCTTGGCGAATACGCAAAACTGTTTGATTCAAAATGGCTATAACTTTATTCTGCTATCATGCAAGACAACTTCTTTGGTATCAAAAATCTTCCCACAATTTTCCTCATCTTTTGACGCATTGGTTCGCAGACTTCATCCAGAACTAGATCCTGTTTTAACGGGATCTGGTTCTGGATGAAATCTTTTGTTATAACAGGATCTGATTCATGAAATCTGTCAACCAAAGCGTCAAAAGACGAAGAAACATTTGGGAAGATTTTTGATACCTGAGAAGTTGTCGTATGACGGCAGAATAAAGTTATAGCCATTTTGAATCAAACAGTTTTGTGTATTCGCCAAGCGATCCGCTGGGTGCTCGAAATCTGTATCCGCTTGTGCTCGCTAGGCGCGCGTACGAAATCAAGCCTTGGGATCGGGATAAATTTTGCCAGTCACATGCAGGTAAGCAACACCTTGCTTACAACAACCTTTTATTGACCGTAGCCGTAACACTAAATATCTACAAAGTGATGACAATAATTATTTCCCAAATGAATCGTAATGAAACAATTGCCGATCGAGTAATGAAATACAAGCGCGCAGATACACTCACGCAATCATTAAACAAAAACCGAAATAAAAAAACACAGACTGTTACCAGCATATGTCGGCTAATTTTGCAAAGGTTTATAGGGAGCCACAGTACACTTTTTTTATTAAAGTGTCAAGGGAAACTTGATAATCCTCATCTGCATTTTGTTGTTCACTGAGCCGCTGGTGCCGGTAGTGGATGGCGCTGGAGCATTCTGCATGCGGTGAATATCACTTCGGCGCTGTTCAAACTGCCGGAGCTGTTCCTTGGCCCGTGGGGTATTTTGAGAGTTGAGGTAATTTTCAATGGATGCCTCGTTCTTCAGCTGCGTCTTGTAGGCCTTCCTATCTGCTAACTGCTGCTCCGTACTTAGTTCGAGCTGGACTTCGTCTCGGATCTGCTGCATGGTGCTGGGTGACAAGCGGTACTTGGGAAACGACCCAGTTAAATATTGATGCACGGCGAGTTCTTGATCAAGATCAAGCTGGCTCATCAGTGTATCGCTGACGATGGGATCGGACAAGTTAAACGCCACATTGTTGTCGGTTTTAGCACTCGAAACTCGATCAAGGACACATAAGACCACACTTGCCAGAACCTTTATAAAACCACACTTTCTCATCTTTAAGATTGGGAACTACACTAATGCCGTAATACAAGCTTTTCGAACTGATTGGACTCCCTTATGAATTAAGATGGATGCACACAACTATCGCTAATTAAAATTTTACTGAATGGAAAAAACTCGGTTTCTTAACGGTTTTGCTGTCAAGCTTTTATAGGCAAGCATGTATGCGGCGGCGTGCCCTGGTGTTTGAAATTTAAAAATGGCTGCTGCAATGGATTATAACAGAAACGTATCCGCAAGTAGTCTCAGCCTACTCCCAAGCCTAACGAATCCGGGTTAATTACTGCTTATTTATGGAAATTGTTCTGTGCCTTTTCATTTTATTAAACTTCTTTTCGCAAACTGACTTTCATTGCCCTATAACTCACTATTATTTTACCACTTCCAACGTCAACATTAATTTTGTTGGACGCGTTTAGCGAGAATACAAAAAATGAAATGTAATTTGGAAAAGAAATGAAATTTAATGGGAAAGCTTCCGGACCAGGAAAGCATGGCTAGGAAGTGCTTTTGTTATATTGTTACAGCGAGTTTGTACTGCTTTTGTTGTTATTAGCTAGGTTGTGCAAATAATTATACATATATGCTGCCGCTCCTCCTGTTGAGCAAGATACACGAGAGGAACTCAAGCATATCTTATCTATCTGTTGGTTTGCTGCTGACAGCTCCTCATATTCGTACAGTTGTTCCAGCACGAACTGCAGCCTCGACGAGTCACAATAACGGTTACAGTATGTTAAGTTTGATTCCATGCTATCCAAATATCGCAAAGACCTCTGTCGCTTATCATGGATGCTTTATATTTTCACAAATATATCAGAACCTGAATCTGCCTGATCAATCTTAAATTAAATCGATCAGTAAACGAAGAAAAAAAGCATTTTGACAATTTTAAACAGTGGTAATCCCCATTTCACGAAGCTATAAGTGAACACGATGACTGCACCACGGTATGAATGAAAAGCAAAACAATAAAAAATCATCTGAACACAAACTGAACTTTGCTTTGGTACTGCACCGTTGGGATCTCTTGTACTAGATGAAAGGTCATCACTCGGCGCCGCGGTTGGGCAGTGCCCGTACTGGTCCAGCGCCGGCAGCCGACCGCCATCATGGCCGCCTACGTACCAGTGCTCGGCCTGCCCGTCCCCGTTCCGTGCACAGTGAAACTGCAGGACGATGGGACCGCCGTATGGGCGGGGTGTACCACTGGCATTTACCACATGCGCCCACTGCACAAAATCCCGCGCGGCACAGCAGTCACACTGCCCGCTGACGTCATCCACACAGAAGCTGTTGCGGTCGAAATTCAATCGCTGAAAGCTGTCTTTGTTAGTCAGATTGATGGTATCAAACAGGGATTGAGGAGGAAAGGTCATTTGATTGCTGCCTAAATCGAGAGTGGTTAGGCGGTGTAGAGTAAATTTTTTACTGTTGGTCAAGGTCGTCAGTGGCGCTTTTTGGCGGTCGATGTAGATTGACTACATGAAAAGCACAATGTTACGACGCTGCAACCACAACAAAACTACAAAGAAATGAAAACCTGACGGATTACTACTGTATATATTGCGGTGAACAGGTGCCTAAAATTTTTTTTAATAAATAAATTGACATATGTCACTCAATGTGTACGCACCTTAAGATTATTGGCAGCTGGTGCAAATACCGCCCAGTCAAGGGCTGCCAGTTCGTTTTGGTTGAGACTGATCGTCTGCAGCACATTCACACCAGCCGTGTCGAAAGCCTCGATATTAATGACTTTCAAACCGCTGTAACCAACATTAACCGACTCCAGTGCATGATAACCGCGGAGGAACGTAGCGGGAAGTTCCGTAATCAGACAGTCGAAGAGCGTCAGCTGTTTTAAGCTGCCTTTCACGTTGGTTAGCAAAATATCGAAGGGACTCCAGCCACTACTGTTCCCGCGGAAACCGATTAGTTCCACCCGTTGCAGCGGCCCGCTTCCGGATGGCAGTGGCTGGGGATTGGCGCTGATGGTATTGAAGGTTCGATTCGGACTGGCGGGATAGATGGTATTCGGACCGCCCAACGCGATCCAATTGACGGTGGTCGGTATGCGGGAGATGTCGAAATTACCGGGAAGTTGCAGCTCGTACGAGACGCACTGCAGAAAAATCGCGTTCTGTTTCAGCTCGCAGCTGGGATGAGGGAGGAGTTGACCGTTGCAACCTATGCGCAAACACAGTACACTCTTTCTTTCTACTGGAAGAAGCTTTGTGTGCATGATGTTTATTCCCGTAATACAAAATAGCATATGCGTTCGTAACTTTAATAACCTTTGAATGCAGCAGTGCCTGTTGTCATGGCTTGTACATGTACTCTCATGACACAGATACAATTTTTTGCAGTACTTATTTCTGCGATGATAGTATTTCTCCTTTTTACAAAAACTCAGATTCACCTAAAACTGGAGCCGGAAATCTTTTGTAGGACAAAACAATTATTTTGAGCAATAAAAGCGTTTGCTGTAATACTAGTACAGTACTACAGACTGAGTAGATTAGGCAGGGAGTTTAGACCCTATCTATTGTTCTCTACCCTATAATTAAATATAATTAGTGCGCTCATGCGTGACGTGCGTGCATTCGAGCGTAACGCGTAATTATGTAGTGTAGTGGAGCGTAACCGTACACTAATTACAGGTGTACACTAATTAGGGCTAATTATAGGTTATGTAATACTGTACACTAATTACAGGTATACTCGTAAAACAATTACAAATTTTATTTAGTTTTTTAATTAGTTTTTTATGTTTTTTCTACGTAATTATGTGTTTTTTGTAGGTGTACAGTTGTTTTTTGTTCGAAAAAGTACCGCTTTTTAGAATTTCAAGCTGCAGATGCCATGGTATTTTATTGAACGCATCGCATTTGTAGTTTGAAAGTGTAAAAAGTGACGGCACACATCCAAGTTCCGTACCTTACGCAGTTTCATTAAAAATACAGATTGCATACGTAGTTACACGTACCAGAAAATATACGCATAAAAGAAAAAAATGGGATTGTGTGATCATAATACCTACCCGCGATGAATCTCGAACAAAAACAATCAAAATCCAGTGTTCAGACATGGGACATACATGAAATGAAATAAAAAACCATCAATAACAGCTGCAGAGAAGAAAAACACCCACACACAAGAACACACACACACACACACCATCCGCTACTTCTCAGTCGGGTGGCTACGGCGCGGAGAGCAGCGTGGCTGGTTCAAACGCGAGCTACCGTGATCCTCCCGAGGCTCGTTTTCCCGGCTAGTGGAAGCAGTGGCCGCGGTGGCATCGACAGACGGAGCAGCGGCAGGGGCAGACACGGAGGGCTGTTGTTCAGGAGCCGGAGCGGAGTCAGCGGGTACGGCAGAAGGCTGAGGTGCAGACGGCGGCTGTGCGGTTTTGCGGCTGCGTGGAGCAGGGCGTGCAGCAGACGGCGGTGGGTTTTCACGGGCGCGTGGAGGTGGTCGTGCAGCAGGGGGTTCTGCAGGGGGCAGCTTGAATTGGTCGGTCAAAAACGACACCAGCGCTCTGTCCCGCTTGTCGATCGTGACGCGATTGGCGTGGAGGGCGGCCTTCATGCATTTCTCGAACATATCAATCAGGAAATGCTCGCCCGACTGTTGTAAGGCATATATAGCCGCCGCGTTCCAACGGAAGTCTTCCTTAATTTCCTGGGAGATTTCTCGGACCAGGCGCTGGAACGGAGTTTTGCGGATGATCAGGCTGGTCATTTTCTGCTGCTGCTTAATTTCTTTCAGTGCCTTCACCCCAGGACGAGCTCGTGGCTTCTTTCCCTGCTTGGCTGGTGGAGGGCGCTTGCGCTGCTTCGCACGGGACGAAGATGCTGGAGGCGGTTCATCATCATCGGCGCCATCGTAGTCGACCGAGATGTCCCGTTGCTCGTCTGCTGGTGCGTCTCCGATCGCCTCGGCATTGGGGTTATTGAACGCTGTTGATACAAACTTCCCAATCCTTATCATGAGGGGCGCTTCCTCTTCATCCGCATCCTCCTCCTCCACCTCCATATCATCAATCGGATCACTAAAAAAAAAATTTCGAAAATGTTCAGTAAGTGATACGCATGTAACATATGTATTTCAGTTACTATGCATTTTCGAAAAACGAAACTAAGGATGAATTACTTACTCTAACTCATTGTCCTGCACTGCGGGCCCATGGAAACGCGAAACGCTAGCAGAATTCCCGGCGGATTCCGCTTCGGAAGAAAAATTTCTCAAATTTTGAAAAATTATGGTTGATACATGGTACAACGTTTGCTAGGTGAAACTGTTTAATAAAATCGAAAAATCTTACCTTGGCAATCCTTCTCCCAACGCGCGTTTACGGATGACCACCTTCTTCTTCTTCTTCTTCTTGCGTACATCTTCATCCGAGGAGGACTCCGAAGACGAAGATTCATCATCGGCATCGGAATACAGCCGATCCTTGTCCGAGTCGTCTTCTGCTGCCTCCAACATCTCCGAACGCAGTTTCTCCCGGCGATCCTCATCGTCAGAGTATTCGTCGTTGGAGTCCATTATGCCGGTGGTGGGGCGCTTTCTGCCCCGTGTCCCTCTGTGCGGCGACGGGGCTACGGGCTGGACGACCCCTTCTGCTTCCTCCGCGCTCTCCTCCACCAGTTCTTCCACCGCCACAAGCTGCACATCCTCCTCTCCGCTCCCTTCCACAGGCTCTTTCAGCGCCTCGTTTCCATCGGCAGGCGTCCCGCTCGCGTCGTGGACTGACTCCGCCCCGCTCTGGGCATCCTCCAATTCGGCATCGGCGTCCGATTGCTCCACGCTCTCCACGATGGGCTCGTCAGACATCCTAAAATCCAAGAACATGAAAACCAATTAATATCAGCGTTCTGTACGTTTTTATTTCGTCAGTGGGATAAAATTTCGATTTTGTACTGTAAACTATACGCCGCAATACTATAGTTTCGAATTTACTCTTGCTTTTCGAAAAACGTGGTTCAGTGTTTTTTTTTAATGGTTCCAACAACAAAATAGTCAAATTCGATCATGAACCCCATGTTTGTACACAGCGCTAGTATATACAGAGATCGACTCGCAGGTGCAGCAATCACAACCGCAGAGACCAAACAAAATAATAGCAGTCTGTTGCAATCACAAAAAACAAAAAGAATTTCAGATAACGATCACAGAACGCAAAGAAATACCGGGAGACTGTGCGAGCTATTCAGTTCGTGGGCTGTCTTCTACACTCTCGTTCAGCACTGACAGCTCAACATTGTCGTTAGAACCGCCGGGAGCATGTTTAACACAGCGACGCTTAACAAACACAACTGAACTAGCCACTAGAATACAAAAAACCGCAATCCCGATAATTGAGTAAATAATATTGGGAATGGTAAAATCGGAGTCCGCGTCCTGGGTTGATACCGCGGTGGAAGACGTAAGAGTCACATTTCGACTGGCAGTGGTCGGCGTACTGTTTTTCGGTAAATTTGAACTTTTGTTTCCTGGCCGATCCGTTGTGCGCGGCACACAGTCAGTCAGCACGATGAAATTGACGGAGGCTGGCTCAGTACAACCGACTAGAGGGTTGCTGCGCGCATCCAAGTACACCAATCGTGGAAACGCAACCGTTAATCCGGCGTAGGGCACTGCATAAAGCCGATTTCCGCTGAACAATACGTGTTTCACCCATGCTTTTGGCTCAGCCGGTAAAGGAATGGCAGTGAGACGGCGGTTTGCGCAGTTGACCACGCCTTCCTGGTAGTCGCAGAGGCAGTGTTTGTAGCAGGGAATCCAGCCTCCTGCGTGGCAGCCAACCAGAAAAGCCATACTCGCGATAATGCACATCAGCATCATCTAGAAAATGGCAAGCGTCTGTTAATACAATCAACTAGCGATCAGTTGAAGATTTTCAGTAGCCTATCTCTGGCAATATTTTTCACGTGTAAGTGCAACATTTCCGCAATAATGTCTATTGAAAAAATCGCTCACGCACTTTTTCCCATTGGACCTGGTCCACGAACTATGAAAAATGGAATAGTCTATTACCCACAGCTTGATGCGAAAGATCTCAACGTCTTGCAGACCGTCTACAACCATCTTAAGGATCGATTCACTGCAGCGCAGAAGTTATTTCCTGATATCACAATTGGAGTGCGCCTGCAGTTTACTAGAGATGACTGGTTTCATCAAAGTCCTATGGGAGAAGTTGCATTCGCTTTGTATCCGCTGGAGCCAGCGAAATGCAGTCTCCAGGCCGGAGGGCAGTTGTCGTGCAGAATTACAAACGAAGACGAATGGCGCCGCGTCATACGAGATTTGGCTCATGGTAGGCTACGCAATTATTTGAAGTACTACATGAAGAAATGGAGACGCGACCATCCTAACTACGGATATAAGATTCAGCAAGTCATTACGGTGGAGTGTCCCGACAGTACTGGTGTCAAGATCTGGAGCGAATGCGTCATGGGAGTTGGTTTGGATGAAGCGAATGAACTGCCTAAATTCGATTACTACTATCAGCGTGTCGACAAGTTTGAGAAAATGAAGCTTCTGAAGCCCGGCCATGGACCGCCCGCTACGCAACCGGAAGATCTACAAGAGGAGGACGAGGGATTTCAGGATGGCGCATTCGCCCCGCCATGCAATCCAGACTGGGGAGACGAAATGAGCGGAATTCCTCCGGACATGAAGATCGTTGACAGCGATTGTGAATAAGGTAGATCGTGCGATACCGTTTTTTTTTGTTATTTCTCATTTATCAGTTTCGATAGTTCCGAATTCTAAATTGTATGTATATTTGAATTAGAATGGATACGGAAACTCCACCTCCAATTCCTGTCGTCGAAAGGAACTCGAAGGGGATTCTGTTCTGGGCCCTCTTTTACGCCATTCCATTCATTTTTTCGCATGTTATACGTATTGTTACTGTCATTACGCTCAAAGTTACTGACAGATTTCCTGTGCATAATATCATTATGCCTTTAATTTCATTTATGTTCAATGAAACTCGACGCATGCTAACTGGAGGAAATGGAAGTACAGCTCAGTGACCATTTCATGCACCCAACTTCTGTTCTTATTAGTGGTAATTCTGGATGTGGCAAAACGACTTTTGTGGCTAACATTTTACGTTACAATAAATTATCGAAAACTCCGGAGCGGATATTTTGGTTTTACAAACAATATCAGCCGTTATATGATACACTTATCAAAGAAGGGTTTCCGGTCAATTTTATTGAAGGACTGCCAGACGAAATCTCAAAACCAAAGTTTTTTGACAAATCTCATGTTAACCTTTGCGTAATCGATGATCTGCACTTGGAAGATTCCACCAGCAAGCATGTGGCTCAACTGTTTTGTAACGGAGGAAGACATTCGAATACCACAGTCGTATATCTGACGCAGAATTTATTTTTTAAACAAAGTTTTGGCCGCGACATCAGACTGAACGCTAAAATAATCATATGTTTTAAAAACCCACAAGACCGTCAGCAACTACAAATTCTGGGGCGGCAGCTTTTCCCCCATAAGTTGAAATATTTTATAGAATCAGTGAACGCGGCATTTGAACGACCTTATGGCTATATAGTCATAGATTTACAGCATACTACAAGCGATCGCTTTCGTTTAAAGACGGCAATTTTTGGGGAAAATTCTAGCCGTTGTACTGAAGTATTTGTCCCGGCATGATGGAACGTAGCAAGACGGTTTCAAATATCGACTTGTTGTCGTCGATTGCAAAAAGCCGACCAAAGCTTGCAAAAGCAATTATAAAAAACTCGGAAGATACGTTAATAGATGCTATTTCGGAATGTGCGCTACAAATTGTGGAGGGAACAGTTCCTGTTGCTGAGTCTTCCAAAGCACTTCGAGTTAAGAGGGTCCTGCCGTATTTGAAACTTTTGTCAAAAAAATCGGTTTCTCGGCGTAAGAAGCGAAATTTTTTGTTGGCTAAAGGCTATGCGCTGTTGTCTCTGATTTTACCGCCAGTTTTAAGTTTTATTCTTGGAAAAGTGTAAAATGGCAAAACGCATGTTTCTGGTTAACGAGGATCAACTTCGAACTCGCAGTAGATCGATCAGTCCAAGTGGACATGTTCCACCAACTGCGACTCACTTGGATTATTTCTCAAGACCCTTACAACGGTCCTATCAAGATATGGGACTTTCTCTGCACGATCGTAATTTATCCACAAGACAAAAACTGAATGCTCACGACGATGCGATGTTTCGATATGAAAATTATTTAAAGCAAGCACATTCACCAACAGTGCACTTAAGGGGCCCTGACGATTTAGACAAGCCAACACAGGGTATTCCTGGAATTCAAGACGATGTTTCGCGCGTAATGGAGCTACTTCCTGAAAAGCAGCGAAGCAACGCACATAGTCTACTTAACCATCTAGTAACTTATGGTGGGATGCGGGTGGGCCGGAATCTGCAACTAATAACGCAAGGTGTGCAGCGCGAGGGCACCAACGTTGTCGATTTACTTCGATGGATAACTGCGCCTACTAATCCTACTTCCAAGCAAAGTTTGCCCGAAGGCCTGAACGAGATCTTTTCTGCTATGAAGCAAAGCAATGCGCCGGCATCTCTGATAGCAAACGCAAATAGGCGCAATACTTTCCGTGTTTTCCAGCCATCTGACGATGACGAAGAAGAATATCATACGCCAACGAATAGTCGAAAACGAACACCCGGAACTCCTCGGGTAGCACGGTCATGGGTGCGATACTAGCTTAAGTTAGTATTTTTGACGCTATTTGTCGTGATTTGACGTTATTTTGTCTAGTAATTTTACACCGTCTCTGCAAGTTCGCTTTCCTATTGTTGTTTTTATTTTATCCCTTTTTATCCCAGTTGTGTGTGCTATTTAGTTCTTGTTCTTGACGCTAAAATTAAATTATGCGAGAACTTCCGTGTTTTCAATTTTCTTTTATTACAACAGCAACACTTTATACATAGGGAGAGAATATTGCTTTTTGGACACATTTTTCAAACATATCTCAGGACGTTTACATACACGAAGGTGTTTTTTAGCAAATGCCTTCAATAAGACATCATTTCGCTTCCAATTTTTATGATATTCAAGTTTATCGATAATTTGACGAAGATTTAGCCCACGACAAGAATAATACAGGAAAAAAATACAGAACAGTCCACACAAACTAGAATTGGGATGCTGCAGTCGAGTATGGTTTTCTTGGTAATGACCATGAGCGTTTGGAAAATTTTCCACAATGAATTTGTCAATCTCGATTCCATAAAACAACGCTGATTTTCCGAAGGAGTCGAAAAACGAGATACTTTTCTGGTTCTTGGCGAAAACTTCTAGCCAGTGTTGCCCTGGCAACGCTTTCTTATCGCTGTTGACAATGAGAGCGACAGGATATTTAATCTTTTTCAGCGTTGGAAGCGCATCTCTTGCGAATACTCCAAGAAAGCTGCCTCTAAGACAAGGGTCGTGCTGGACTATATCCAGCAACTGTAGATTATTCATTTTCAAGCTCGCTTGTATGGACAATAGACATTCCTACGCGAGTCTATCTCGACCAACGCGTTTTTGTTGTAATAGATAAGAATGGAGAGAGTATTTGTCGTAGGCGTTGAAAATGTTAACGAGAGACCCAGAATGCCTTTCTTGGTGGGGTTTATACATGAATGGTCGCCGACATCCGGCTCCAGATTGAAACCGTAAATAGCAAACCCGTTTCGCCAGTCGGACTGCGCGAAAGGTAACGCGGAGTTTTTGTAAATCATCCCTGTTGTTTCTAGGAGACTTTGATACCCATCTCTTGAGTTAGTATCCGAAATTTCGAGAGCTTTACCCGGA